ACTGATAACAAGGGGCACTCAATCATCATGTCTGGATGAATGACTGATATCAAGGAGGATTCAATCATCATGTCTGGCAGTATGACTGATAACAAGGAGGACTCAGTCATCATTTCTTGCAGTATGACTGATAACAAGGAGGACTCAATCATCATGTCTGGCAGTATGACTGACAAAAAGGGGCACTCAATCATCATGTCTGGCAGTATGACTGATAACAAGGAGGACTCAATCATCATGTCTGGCAGTATGACTGACAAAAAGGGGCACTTAATCATCATGTCTGGCAGTATGACTGATACCAAGGAAGACTCAGTCATCAAGTCTGGCAGTATGACTGATAACAAGGGGGACTCAATCATCATGTCTGGCAGTATGACTGATAACAAGGGGACTCAATCATCAGTAATCATCATGTCTGGCAGTATGACTGATAACAAGGGGGAGACAATCATCATGTCTGGTAGTATGACTGATAACAAGGAGGACACAATCATCATGTCTGGTAGTATGACTGATAACAAGGGAAACTGAGTCATCATGTCTGGCAGCATGACTGATAACATGGGGGACTCAATCATCATGTCTGGCAGTATGACTAACAACAAAGGGGAGACAATCATCATGTCTGGTAGTATGACTGATAACAAGGAGGACACAATCATCATGTCTGGTAGTATGACTGATAACAAGGGAAACTGAGTCATCATGTCTGGCAGCATGACTGATAACAAGTATGACTCAATCATCATGTCCTGCAGTATGACTGATAACAAGGGGGACTCAATCATCATGTCTGGCAGTATGACTGATACCAAGGAAGACTCAGTCATCAAGTCTGGCAGTCTGACTGATAACAAGGGGGACTCAATCATCATGTCTGGCAGTATGACTGATAACAAGGGGGACACAATCATCATGTCTGGCAGGATGACTGATAACAAGGAGGACATAATCATCATGTCTGGCAGTATGACTGATAACAATGGGCACTCAATCATCATGTTTGGCAGAATGACTGATAACAAGGGGGACACAATCATCATGTCTGGCAGTATGACTAATAACAAAGGGGACTCAGTCATCATGTCTGGCAGTATGACTAATAACAAGGAGGACACAAGCATCATGTCTGGCTGTATGACTGATAACAGGTTAAATAATTCACCAGGCTCAACCTTCAATCACTGTTAAATGACAGCAACGATTAAACAAAGCGGTATCACACAGGCACAGTTTAGGTTCAAACAACGACCACCAATACATCAGGTGTCCTTTATCATACCTCTAAGATTTGTAGATCGAATGACTTTCTCCCCTTCTGTTAGACCCCTAATTACTACACGTGAGTCTCATAACACATCGAGATGTCCAGCACCCGCGGACATGGTCAGGTTGTTTAGCGTGATAACAAAACATTCAAATATTACACTGCCACAGTCACCAATTACGCACGACACTTTAAGTACTTTCTTATCACTGTAGGAGTGGAATGATAGAGCAGGTCATAATGTTTTGTAATCATGCCTTCTCTTTCTATGATGCAACATATATTTTATAAATATTCTCTTGAAAACAGATACCAGTTAGACATTCCGTAGTTGAGTGATAACACTCATCACCTACGTATGTTATTGAAATTCTACTGTAGGTTTAATCATATTATATGATCTTGATTCGTAAACAAGAAATTACGCCTCAGTAGAGGAAGATCTAAAGTGTTATCTTCTTTGACCACTGAAGGTACTTCTTTTGATTATCTCGTCTATAATACATGCGGATTTATTATGTTTCAGTCTATTGTCTCTAAAATTGTTGAAATGAATTACTTTGAATAATCAATAACCCAAAACGCATGGAGTAATTTCAATGACATGAAAACGAGTCTGACAAAATCTGTCGGCATAATGTCTTCAATTGTAATATTTGTGTCACCAGGGCTAGACAAATCCAAAGGGTCCATGTTGCAATTTTGTGGCAAAGAAACAACCCCGAGCAGTTTCCTCAGCAGCAGACCGCCAGGAACAGGTTGAGAGAGGCTGGTTTACGTGCCAGAAGACCTTATTTTAGCCCTGTGCTTCGACAACAACATCGTCGACATCGAGTTTAATGGTGACCAACGTTCAGGCCTGGAACCTACCGAATTGGCGTAGAATCTGGTTCAGTGATGAATCACGATTTCTTTTGGAACGACGCGATGGAAGAATGCGGGTGTACAGACGTCGACGTGAATGTTTCGCCGACGCTTGCGTTCCCAGGTGGACAGATTCGGGGGTGGGGGTGTGTGTTGTGTTAGGGGTGTTGTGTTAGGGGGCGATCACCTGCCGTAGGGGAATTGATTTGGTGATGATTCAGGGCAACCTGACAGCTCAACGGTACTGTGACGAAATCCTACGCCCACACCTCCTTCCAATCATTGATCGCCAGAGGGAGTTGTTTCAACAGGACAATACCAGGCCCCACACAGCACGTCACACTAGAGACTTCCTCCAGAACCACAACATCAATGTGCTCCCCTGGCCCTCAAGATCACCTGACTTAAACCCGATCGAACATCTGTGGGATGCCCTGGACTGACGGGTGCGACGCCGTAACCCTCAGCCCCAGACACCCAGACTTATTCGTTCTATGCCGAGGCAATGCCGTGCAGTTCTGGATAAACACGGTGCTCACACGAGGTACTGACTTCAGCGCCACAACAATTCTCCATGTGACACTCAAACTGACTTTCCTCGAGTTGGTGCCAAAGACGGATAAGTATGCATTCCCAGTGTGCAATTTCGCTATATTTCATTGACTCATAAAGCCTACAAGATGTTTCAAAATAAACATAAAAATACAGTTAAAATTATTATATGCGTTTCTTTTTTGGGAGAGTATATAATCTATATGACATGTGATCACTTGCGTCCACTTGTCATTTTGGTTTCAGTTTTGATGGTTGAGCCAAATGTTATGTGTACTGGCTTATAGTGTAATACGTGTATTTTCTGTGTGCTGACGAGCCATGGTAATACGTGTGTGTATTGTGTATGCTGACGAGCCATCATACTACGTGTGTATATTGCATGTGCAGACGAGCCATAATACGTGTGTATATTGTGTGTGCTGACGAGCCATGATAATACGTGTGTATATTGTGTGTGCTGACGAGCCATGATAATACGTGTGTTTTTGTGTGTGTGCTGACGAGCCATGATAATGCGTGTGTATATTGTGTGTGCTGACGAGCCATGATAATACGTGTGTTTTTTGTGTGTGTGCTGACGAGCCATGATAATACGTGTGTATGTTGTGTGTGCTGACGAGCCATGATAATACGTGTGTATGTTGTGTGTGCTGACGAGCCATGATAATACGTGAGAGCATTTGTATATACTGTGAGCTGATAATGCGTGATCCTGTTTGTATATCACACGGACGACAGTGTCATAAATTGTACATATTGCAATGATGATTATAATATGGAGATTGGGTTTGTATGATATGGTCTTTATGTCGATGTCGATGATAATGATGATGATGATGATGATGATGATGATGATGATGATGATGGCGATGATGGAGATGGCGATGATGATGATGATGAAGCTTAGTGGAGAATAAACAGGAGTGCACCACACATGACATACCATATAAACCGGCTTGAAAACAGTATAAGAATCTATACCGAAACGTCGCTATTGTTAAAATAAAGAAGTTGATCATCCATAAAGTTGTGTCATCTCTATACCAGCAACTTCTAAAATGCCACTCAAACAAATCATACCATATAAGTGTTGTGTTGTTTGTAGTACTGAGTGGAGTGTTGGAGAACGGGTGCGTCTCACCCTGGCACTCCAGCTGTTGCGTAATAAGCACGCGCTTTGTCGAGGTTGCCACCCACGATAACCCGCATACCAAGCAGCATGACCACGTTAAAATGTTGTAATCGCGGTTGCGTTTTTGCACCCACAACCAGTGATATACCTAGAAACAAGGTTTATCCAAGTATATTGACATTGCTTCCAAGACACAGTACCTGACTTACATATACTTTACTGATTCTTTGGGTTAATATTTTATTAAAACTTCGTAAAATGTCGTACCCTTCAAGATCCAAACTCTTAAAGATCAACCAAGCATAATTATAGGTAAGCCTCTGCAGAGGCGGATCCAGGATTTTGGATAAACGTCAAATGTTCCTTTGGGAAGTTTTTGAGGGAGGAGTGGGGTGGTGTGGTGATGGGGTGGTGGTGGTGGGGTGGTGGTGGTGGTGGTGTTGGTGTGCCCCGGCTCTGAATGTCATTTGGAACTTTACTCAACAGGGATACACAAACTATTTTATGTGTAACAAAGCCGCACACAAGGCATAATCATCATCAGCTCATCAGAAAAATCGAAGTCCAGTATAAGCCTCTCGCAACATAGACAATATTAAAAAGATTAAACTATCTAAAGTCATTTCGGACTTTTCACTTAGTGAAAGAGAAAATCATGTCTGGACAAAGAAGTAACTACTAGTTATTAGTTATAGTGAAGTATCGCCCCGTGAAGATCCGGGTTCTTCAGCAACCCATGCTTGTCGTAAGAGGCGACTACCGGGATCAGGTGGTCAGGCTCGCTGACTGATGTACATGATGTCCAGATTCAATTATTTACAGACCACTTCCATATATGGATATTGCTGAGTGCGGCGTAATACTAAACTCACTCACTCATTGACTGACTGACTGCCTGAGTTTGGTTTTACACCGCTTTTAGCAATATTCCAGCAACATCACGGCGGGGGACACTAGAAATGGGCTTGACACATTGTACCCATGTGGGGATTCGAACCCGGGTCTTCGGCGTGACGAGTCAACGCTTTAATTACTAGGCTGCCCCACCGCCCTCACACACTCATTGAAGTATCACTGTCTGATTGGTGATTCCATGGAACATCATCGATAGAACAACGTTTCTGTTTTCAAGAAATGTGCGTATCGTTGAAACGCCCATTACCACTAGAGCAAACAGGGTTTGATAAGGTACCGATGTCATCGCAACCTGGCCTCCGTATCGTCACCACAGCTCGCTATTACATTGAAGACCGGAGTTAGTTGGATGTTCTTTTAGCAAGGATTTAAACAAATGTTGGGGATATACAAGACCATAGCCGTCTTTCTCGGTACACTGTCGTCATTGCATGCTGCGAGGACAGGTAACAATTTGCAGGTTTCTACAGGTAGATTATGACACACGGTTGAACCAGGGCAGGCATTTATTCCGATATTCTGAACTTGATTTTGGTATTCGAATACCCGAAATTTGTACAGCCCAGAATACATGCTTTCTTGTACAAACGGGGCGGAGGGGTAGCCTAGTCCTTAAAGCGTTCGCTCGCCACGCCGAAAACCCGGGTTCGATTCCTCCACATGGGTACAATGTGTGAAGCGCATTTCAGTGATATTGCTGGAATATTGCTTAAAGCGGCGTAAAACTAAACTCACTCACTCACTGTGTAGAAACATAACTCGTGGCAGTACACAGGTGCATTTATTTACTGTGCTGATATGTAGATATGCGACAAAGTCCATTTGAATAATCATTACATATGTCTACCAACAACAGAAGCTCAATAATTGTTGGCCTCACCTTAGGCAAAGAAATGGGTACCCGGCGGGGATAACGCCATGTGACTATAACATTCCAGTGCCTAACAAGCAGCTTGGGGTAATGCTTTGTGATGCGCCGTTGAACAGCTTCGAGAAATCCGTTATTATGATGATTATTATTATTACCAGTATATATAAAACGATTCCGACTGTATCAGACACATGTGCTTAAGAATCATAAAGGTGAGCGCATCCTGAGCGAATCTCCAACAGCTTAGGGTGTGATGTAAATCCAGTTAGAGTCCATACAGGACTCAAAAGTACTGTAAATCCCCATAGTCCCTAGGTACCAGCCTTCAGTTCCTGGAGTCTAGGTGGTCTATAACCCGGTTTTTTAAAATATTGCATTGCATATAGTAATATCTTTTTTACGATAACATACGTCTTTGAAGATTTGTGATACTCTAGTAGTTTACTGTCATCGAAAACAGGTTTTACGTTCTAAATCCATTAATTTTAATGCATAAATTGTTCTCGTCATCCGATGTGACGCTAAATATCAACTACCTCACACATACTGAGCGTGGCTAGCAATCGATAATTGAGAACCGATGTATCTGGGTTGTGTGATTATACACAAGTTCTGATTGTACACAAGGTCACACGTCCCTTCACCTGTGTTTTCAATATTTCAAACCTCGGTGATTGCTGTTTAAATAAGGGTTGTCCCCATGTCAGTGGCACGTAAGTCCTCATTAACTGAAGTATTCTCGGCGTCATTAATGAAGGGTCATGTTATTGGTAACACTATTGTTTAAAAGTTGTAAAATCTTCGTTTTTGTTTGAAATATATACAACAGAATGTTTTACAAACTTTCTTAACAATATGAAAAAACACATCAGGCCGTTGAAATGTCATTATTACGTTCTTTAACGTCCGATACATTCTGTTACAAATGGCACATTTATTCAAATTGTCGATATGGAAGTCCCCATGGTTCCTAGTATGGTGATCTACCTTCAGATGCTGGCACTCTATAGCCCGTGTTTTATATTGTATTGTCTTCTTTACTTACACTGTTTTAGTTTTACATGCTAGTTTTATGTTCATATCTTTGATACTCTAGTATTTTTACCCTCCATCGTTGACAGGTTTAACTCTTATAATGTTATCATTTTTGTATTATATAAATTGTTTTCGTCACGATATGGCTGAGATATTGCCGATGTGACGTCAAATATTAACTCACTCACTCACTGTTCAGGTTCCTGTTTGAAATCGCAGCTTCAAATGACTGCCTGCCTGAGTATGGTTTTACGCCGCTTTTAGCAATATTCCAGCAACATCACGGCGGGGGACACCAGAAATGGGCTTCACACATTGTACCCATGTGGGGATTCGAACCCGGGTCTTCGGCGTGACGAGCCAACGCTTTAACCACAAGGCTACCCCACCGCCCCAGCTTCAAATGAGACGTTTTTGACACTTGCTGAAAGGGGTCAGGCTATAGGCTTTTTGGAATCTGGTCAAACTCAGTGGCAGGTTGCTGTCCGCATTAATGTGACTCAGAGTGTTATTGGTAGATTTCAAGCCAATGGAATATGCACGTCGACATGGTCGCCCCAGAGTACGAGATAATAGGCACATGATTAAACTGCGTTACGTAATATATTCCTTAACGCATTGATCAGATCTTCAGACTGAACACTTCAATGTTAACAATGTAAGGATATCCAGGAACACCTTTCGTCGACGTTTAAGGGCAGCCGGACTCTACTGTAGGCGACCTGCGGTTCATCCACCACTAACACCACGATACAGACAGGCGCGTTTGAGATGGAGTAGACATCATGGCCGCTGGAGTGAGTGAGTGAGTATGGTTCACGCCGCTTTTAGCAATATTCCAGCAATATCACGGCGGGGGACACCAGAAATTGGCTTCACACATTGTACCCATATGGGGAATCGAACCCGGGTCTTCGGCGTGACGAGCGGACGCTTTAACCACTAGGCTACCCCGCCGCCCTCATCAACGTCAATGATCTCGTGTGCTCTTCACAGATGAAAGCAGGTTCAGTTTGTCCTTCCACGATGGTGGCAGTGGAGATGGAATCACAGATGCAACTGTGGCCACGCATAACCGATTTGGCGGGCGTCGGTCATGGTGTGGGCAGGGATAACGCCTACTGGACGTACTCCACTGCACGTGGTCGACGGTAATCTTACCGGACAGTGTTATCGGGACGGGAATCTGGCTCCTATAGCATTACTATTCCTGCAGGCTATGCATGGCTGTTATGGCCGACCCTCTAGAAACTCTCAGGAGTAAAGCTGCCAAACACGGTCACCCATCCAAGGACTCTTCGCGCCCAACGTTGCTCAACTTCATCTGATTTGTGACCTGCGCTCTACGCACAGGACCACACACCACCACGCCTCGTATATATAACATCGACTAGCGTTTAAATTGCTCAATTGTAGTTGAGTTTTTAATATTTGTTAGTCGTGCATACAACCACCGGTGGCCAAACTAATGGCGTAAATCCTGTCTGGAGTCATGTAGGGGTGAGTGAGTTTAGTTTTACGCCGCTTTTAGCAACATTCCAGCAATACCACGGCAGGGGACACCTGAAATGGGTGTTACATGTTGTACCCATGTGGGGAATCGAACCCGGGTCTTCGGCGTGACAGTCAAAGGAAGTAAGCGACAAAACATTTTCAGTAACTTTTTGAAAGGGTCCGGTTAAAGCGGAATAAGTCGTAAGATTCTGATAATACAAGGAGCTTTGGGTTACATTTTGATTAAATATCAGTTATTTCCAATGCATGTATACTCTTAGAAAAGTAAGGGACCTTTTTAATTTACGATTGAAAAAGTGGGAGATATATCAGAGCGATATGATAATAATGAATGTTTTGATAGTGCATCACCACTTGCACTTCCTTATGACCATAGCATTCGCCCTTGAAAGATGATCATTGTATGACGTGAAATGTGCTTGAAACAAACACTAACAACCGTGTGAGGCAAGATAATTGTCAAGATTAATAGTCTACAGTTATTTATCGACCTTCTTGAAAACCGTCAAAATCAAGAATGACACCCAAAGCACGTGTAAGGGGCTACTGCGTTGTGTTGTGTTGTGTTAAGGGGTGGTGATAAAGAGAAATGGTGGTCCGTCCATAAAGTGTGTTCTTTAAAAAGCTTGTTAACGCTTATGCTACCAATCCAAATGGAAAGCTCAGGGCCCTGTTTCACAAAGCTATCGTAGCGCTACGACTGTCGTACCTCCTATACATTAACACAGACTTACGACAGGCGTTACGATAGCTTTGTGAAACGGGGCTCAGGTTTACTTTTTCGAAGAGTATATACAGTAGACGCCAAAAGAAACGTTACCCTCTTACCTTTATGAATTACTGAAAACTATCAAAGATATTTTAGAAGGTTTTAGTTTACAAGAAAGCTTAACAACACAGCTTTATGCAAATCACGAAGTAAAAATTCTCAAAAGCATTCATATTTGGGTGAAATGCATCTTTTTCAGAAGAGTTAAATTGTCCTATGTTCGTCCATGCCGAAATAAACCAATAATAGTGATTTTGATGTCCAAAAGAAAGGTTGAAATAAAATTCTGCTTTGGGACAACGATAAACCATTTAAAGTCACCATTTTTCAACTATTAAAACAAGAAACAACTGTTGCAGAGTGTGTAAAATTGTAAAATAATCATTCCATTGATTTCAGTCTTTTAAAGCATTTTCTGCTGATTTGCATTAGTGAAAACAAGTAAAACGTGTCTTTGATATTGTGAAAAAATGTTTAGGAACATGTAAAAGAATGTTTTTTCCATTTCCATTTTACACATTGCAATATCAGTCACCAAAACGCAGCCATATTCAAGCAGTATTTGCATCTATGTCACATGTAGAATGCTTCTATAGGGTATGAAGAGAGCCTAGAAGACATGATCTGATACACAAGTACGGGATATATGCCACGATTAACAGCTGAAGGGAGAGAAAGAGCCTTTGGGATGGTGCAGATTGGGTCGACATACAATGCTGTTGCCAACGCCAACGGGTGCCACCGTATCACGGTTATAAGACTTATTCAGGGCTTCAAACATACTGGGATCACCGTAGACAGACCAAGAAGTGGACATCCACGCATCACAACGCCAGCTGGAGATAGGTACCTCCGTCATTCAGGAAGGAGTGTAACGTTTCTTTTGGCGTTTCGTGTGTATTTATGTGTGTCGCACAATATCTTCACAGGCAGATGTGCCCAGGAAACCTTTTTTGCCGAGGGCTCAACCGCTAGTAAATCATCCCCCGGATATCCAGAGCCATATGGCCCGTGAGTTTCAAATGTTTCTGATTCACAACGGTGAGTAGCTTCTGACACCATTACCAAGCAAGTGAAGTACAATGGTACAGGAAAGGTTCTGTATACATAGTAAAGTTTGAACAAGTTGATTGATGTTTACGCAATTAAAAAAGTTGATGTACAAGGTTGGAGGATGTTTACATAGGCATTCAATTACTACACATGTAGAATAACTATGGAAGGAATAATGGTCGGTGGGGATGGGGTCGTGGGGATTGGATCGCTGTGGGTGGGGATTGGGTCGTGGGGATTGGGTTGGTGTGGGTGGGGATGGGGTCGTGAGGATTGGGTCGGTGTGGGTGGGGATGGGGATTGGGTCGGTGTGGGTGGGGATTTGGTCGTGGGGATTGGGTCGGTGTGGGTTTTTTGTTTAATCTGGATGTGTGAGGCTTCTGGTAGTTTCCTGATGTTGTAAGGGCTGTAATTGCTGGTGTGGTCTGGGTGAACTTGGGTATGACCAGAGTTGGGAGTCTTTGTTCTTCACAGAGGTTTGATGCTCTTTGATACGTATACTTACAGGAAGGGGTCTTGAGGTGTCACCGATGTCACAGTCGTATTTCATGCAGTAAACTGTACCTGAAGGGTCATCTTTCGTTGTGGGGGTTGGTCTGCAATTGGCTTGGATAATGTTCTGTATAGTTTTCCTCTCTGGATCACATCATCAGTGTTGGCTTGGTGTTTTAAGAGTCGGCTGATCTGGTGGCTGGCTGAACCTATTTAGGGCAGGCTAATGTGAAAAGAATGTTGGTTGGCGTGGGGGCTTGTCTGCCGGGTTGCGGTTGACGTTTATGGTGCGATGTACAACTGACTGACTGAGTTTGGTTTTACGCCGCCTTTAGCAATATTCCAGCAACATCACGGCGGGGCGATGTACAAGGTTGGCAGGGTAGTTGTAGGTCTTGAAGACTTGGCACAGGTGTTGGAGCTTCTAGTTGTTGAGGTGTGGAGCAAATGTTTTTGGCACGTCGGGTTAGGGTAGCTATTGTAGACAATGGTCTGGAGTTTGTTGTTTTCTTTCTTTATACTAACACCGAGGCTGCAATGTTGCCGATGCGATGTAACATTTTAACTCACTCACTCGCACTAAAATGCATTGCGTGTATACTTTATGTTCTTCGTAAGAAGATTAGAAGAGAATTTTCCCATCATAAATATGTACTTGTTGTTCATAAAAATTGGCATATTATTCAGCAATAACAATTCAAACATAACAGCTGAAATAACGTCAATAAGTGTTTGTTTCAGCAACTTAACATGTGGATGGAAAATGCACGCATCGTCCCCAGACCGTCGACTTGGCGTTCATTTTGTACAGTTTGCCTTGGAAGGGTCACATAATTGTCAATATGACAGCCTGTCCTTCTATGATGGTAAGTTTGGTTTGGTTGTTGTTGAACGCCGCACTCAGCAATATTCCAGCTATATGGCGGCGGGCTGTAAATAATCGAGTCTGGACAAGACAATCTAATGATCAACAGCATGAGCATCGATCTACGCAATTGGGATACGATGACATGTGTCAACCAAGTCAGCGAGCCTGACCACCCAATCCCGTTAGTTGCCTCTTACGACAAACATGGGCTGCTGAAGACCAATTCTAGCACGACAATGTGTGATGCTCGATTCTGATTGGCTGAGAGCTCATCAAAACCGTACTTAAATGACAGTTTAAGGACCGCTAATTAAAGTGACCGATTCACCGCGTATGAATACAACGAACTCGTTGACCCTATTGTTTGTAAACAAACATGTCGGACATCGGCAATTTCTATCTCGGCAGCATCTTTGGTGTTTTTGAAGTAAAAAGCGAATGGATTGAAGAAGAATTTCTTGACCCTAATCCCAGTGAAGAAACTACGAAGCTTGGAAATCTGTCAGCAGCGCAAAAGCGGCAGTATATTCAAACCGGGTCCAGATCTACGTGTGTTGACGTCGACAGCACACTTCGGCCCACACGTCTTAACCTGACCGCTTCCGTCCCGGCCGTAATGCCCAGTCCTTCCACTTCCACTGTCCATGTATCCCACATAAAACGTGGCATGTCAGGTCTTTTCCAAATTGGGAATAGTAGGGTGGTTATCAACAATTATTTCCGTGAATAAAGTGGCTAAACTTGGCGAGTTCACGGCTTGCATTGAAAACAGAGTAGCCTTATCTTCTAATTCTAATCAGATATGGATATTGTAAACTGCAAGGTGGCAATATACAACAGCTAGGAGCGTATGTAATTACCAAAACAGTCAAAGTAAATTTATAATCCAACACACTTATAATCGTAGAATATTGCTAAAAGCGGCGTAAAATCAAACTCACTCACTCACTCACTTTACTTTCCTTCGTTGACAGGCCTTCTATAATTTACATTCATTTGTGCTGAATTTAAAACTTGTTTTTAGTCAGGATATGGCTGGCATACTGCCGATGTGACTTTAACCTTAAACTCACTCACTCACTCACTCACTCACTCACATATGTTGTAAAGGCGATCATTGACCGTTTCCATCTGATATATTTTATACGAACCGATACGTGACTTAAAATTCATTTAATTTATCAATACACGATAACGCATATAGTAATTACGCTACACTTGTGTATGAGTGTGCCTTTCTGACAAAACCTGTCATCCATTAATGTGTTGTGATATTTCTGTCACCAGGGCCAGACAAATCAAATGGATCCAAGTTTAAATTTTGCGGCAGCGACGAAACCCCGAGCAGTTTCCTCAGCAGCAGAGATAGCATGTACATGGAGTTTATCTCAGATTCTTCCGACAATGCACAAGGATTTAAAGTCATGATTATTGAAGTTGAACGTGAGTGTATCCCTACCATTTTGCCGAATTCTACCGAACAGATCTAGACACAAACGCCATGATTGGAAAATGAATTATAATTAGTGTGTTTTGTCTCAGAGTAATTAATGTAGTTTTGAAAATATGCAGAGTTATGTTCATACATTTCCGCGAAACCTTGAAAGAAATGTACCTTGTCTAAAACAGATTCAAACGTGTCTTATCGTCAACAAAATATTCAGCTACTCAAATTTATTTCATCTTGATATACTTCGTAAAGGGTTGGCCAAAATATTTACGAATGGTTTTTTTTGAATAATGTAAATTGCTGGATTTCTAAAAGAAATGGACTTACTTGATAATTTGTTATTTTGTTTTGCAATTAGTACAATATTTTTTTATTTCTTTGAATGAATTAATAGCAACTTTGATTGTGAGTGGCAATATACGTTCATAGGGTGTTGAAGTAGCGTGAAATAATTGTCCCTCTGAAAGGGTATATTAGCCCCATTTCCCCGAGGTAATTAATTTTACACACTACATGCTTTCAATCGTACAATATATGTGATTTTGATGTTTGGCTGAGTTGGAATAAAATCGCCAGCGGCTGAGGGAATGGTGTAAATCCGGGTAAGGTCGATGCATGCAGCAAAAATACTGTAAGTCCCCATGGTCCTGGTATGGTGATCTACCTTCAGTTGGCCGTCTATAGCACGTTTTCGTATTGTATTGTTCACTTTAATGATATCTTTTCATAATAACATGCTTAGTTTTACCTTAATATCTGTGATACTCTAGTAGTTTTACTATGCACCTAAATTTCAAAAATATTTTCTAACCATATTCGAACAATCTACCTTATTTTCTTTGTAGAATGCGGTGGCAGGTTAACCGCCACATCGGTAAAACGGAACTTATCTTCCCCGGGTTATCCTTACGCCTACTTCAAGTAAGTTTTTAACATTTACCGGGGTATCCTTACACCTACTTCAAGTAAGTTTTTAACATTTACCGGGGTATCCTTACACCTACTTCAAGTAAGTTTTTAACATTTACCGGGGTATCCTTACACCTACTTCAAGTAAGTTTTTAACATTTACCGGGGTATCCTTACACCTACTTCAAGTAAGTTTTAACATTTACCGGGGTATCCTTACACCTACTTCAAGTAAGTTTTTAACATTTACCGGGGTATAACATTTACCGGGGTATCCTTTTTAACACCTACTTCAAGTAAGTTTTTAACATTTACCGGGGTATCCTTACACCTACTTCAAGTAAGTTTTAACATTTACCGGGGTATCCTTACACCTACTTCAAGTAAGTTTTTAACATTTACCATTTACGGGGTATCCTTACACCTACTTCAAGGGTATCCTTACACCTACTTCAAGTAAGTTTTAACATTTACCGGGGTATCCTTACACCTACTTCAAGTAAGTTTTAACATTTACCGGGTTATCCTTACACCTACTTCAAGTAAGTTTTAACATTTACCGGGGTATCCTTACACCTACTTCAAGTAAGTTTTAACATTTACCGGGGTATCCTTACACCTACTTCAAGTAAGTTTTTAACATTTACCGGGGTATCCTTACACCTACTTCAAGTAAGTTTTTAACATTTACCGGGTACCGGGGTAAGTATCCTTACACCTACTTCAAGTAAGTTTTAACATTTACCGGGTTATCCTTACACCTACTTCAAGTAAGTTTTAACATTTACCGGGGTATCCTTACACCTACTTCAAGTAAGTTTTAACATTTACCGGGGTATCCTTACACCTACTTCAAGTAAGTTTTAACATTTACCGGGGTATCCTTACACCTATTTCAAGTAAGTTTTAACATTTACCGGGGTATCCTTACACCTTCCTTACTTCAAGTAAGTTTTAACACCTATTTAAGTAAGTTTTTATCCTTACACACCCTACTTCAAGTAAAGTAGTTTTAACATTTACCGGGGTATCCTTACACCTACTTCAAGTAAGTTTTAACATTTACCGGGGTATCCTTACACCTATTTCAAGTAAGTTTTTACATTTTATCCGGGTAAGTATCCTTTACACCTACTTTCAAGTAAGTTTTAACATTTACCGGGTTATCCTTACACCTACTTCAAGTAAGTTTTTAACATTTACCGGGGTATCCTTACACCTACTTCAAGTAAGGGTTTTTAACATTTTACCATTTACCGGTATCCTTACACCTATTTCAAGTAAGTTTTAACATTTACCGGGTATCCTTACACCTATTTCAAGTAAGTTTTAACATTTACCGGGGTATCCTTACACCTATTTCAAGTAAGTTTTTAACATTTACCGGGTTATCCTTACACCTACTTCAAGTAAGTTTTTAACATTTACCGGGGTATCCTTACACCTACTTCAAGTAAGTTTTTACATTTACCGGGGTATCCTTACACCTACTTCAAGTAAGTTTTTACATTTACCGGGTAAGTTCAAAGTAAGTTTTAACATTTCTGCAGTAGATGTGTGTGCATGGTTCAGTTAGGTCATACCCAGCTAACAATTTCACGTTGTCACAACCTTGTCACAACGCTATGCTTTCGTTGTTACAACGTCATTCGATGGACTCCCATTTACGTTGTCACAATGTTGTGGCCTGACGTTGTGATACTGTGGACTCTGTATAATCCGACATCTGAATGGTACTGTTTGAAAAGTATTCAAGCAAGGAAACATTGAATTATACGACACTCTGTATAATCCGACATTTTTTCCCGGTCCCAGTGAGTGTCAGAGTATACAGAGTCCACTGTACGTCATTGTTACGTCTCCACGAGGTTAACGTTATTGATGCTAGAGTATTTTACGTTGTCTTTACGTTCTATTTAACGTTAATAGTTGAAAGATTTTCCCAGTAGTGAACAGTATATATGACACAAAACAGAAATTTATTCGTCAATTTGCATGTTGCAATATTCCAGCAATATCACGGCGAGGGACACCAGAAATTGGCTTCACATATTGTACCCATGTGGGGAATCGAACCCGGGTCTTCGGCGAGACGAGCGAGCGCTTTAACCACCAGGCTACCCCACCGCCCCACTCAAATTACAAACAGGTCATTGTCTTTTCAGTAACCTTAACTGCACGTGGATCATTACAGCGGAAAATGAAACCGATACGGTTGGACTGAAAATGGTACATTCGGATATTGAGAGACCTACCCCTCCATCAGCTATCTGCCGCTATGATGTCCTTCGTGTTTACAACGGAAACACGACTAAAGGTACCGACATCTTTTAATTATCTTTTAATTTTTGATTTTTTGAAAGAAATAGAACTAATTGAAATCTTTGATCTGAAAAGCATTTGACCTGAAATTGGGCATTTGGTATCGTTGAGGGAGGTCATTCACCGGCACCCTACGTGACATGATGGGACCTATCACACACAAGATCTAAAAACCGTATGCAGGTCAACGAAAACTAACTGTAGCTGTTATACGTAAAACTAGGATCATCGTCCGGAACGAATTACACCGACGTGACAGTATTGGTTTTTCCATCTCAAGGGATAAATATTTCTGTGTTAAAACTAACCATGTTAATTATCATTTTAGTATCTAATTTTTAAAAGAAATAGAACTGATAAATTTTGATTAATATGTTTTGTATATAGATGTATGTTTAGTGTCCATGGCTTAAATTAGAAACTGAGATTGCTAGCGGCTGTATCCTCAAACGGGGCTAAAGTAAATGTAAAATTATTGTCCTCCTAAGAGAATACGTAAGTCCCAAAATATCCAAAGTAAATTTAATCTTACCACTTTTTTAATCGTAGAATAAGTGTCATTTTAATGTATGGCTAGTTTTGTCTGAATTGCTAACAGCTAACAGGAAGCAAATGTACGGTAAGTCCCAAAAGGTACCTAGTATGGTAAGTTGGCAATCTATAACTTGTTTTTTATTGTCTTTTATAGTTAAAACGTTTTACATGTTATACCAGTTTTGTTCATATATCTGTGATCTTCTAGTTGTTTTACTGTCATTTGTGTACAGGGTCTTATAATTTGACTTTATTTATTATGATTCGATAAATTGATTTAGACACGATATGCTTGAAATACTGCCGATGTGACTTAAAATCTTAACTCACTCACTAAATCATAGTGAACAGTAACAACTGACATTCAGAATTTAAAATCTACGTGTTATCATAAAGTTTAATCTCTTTCAAATATGCTAAAATTAAATGACTCGAAATGGAATTGAATATCAACGAACTTTACGGAATTAAATATCAACCAACTTATATATTTCATAAAATACCAATTCAAACTAGAAAAAACATATCTTCGGTGAAAATGATGAAACATTTCGTTTGAAATGGAATTCTCTGTTCCCTTGTGGGTAAAACCATTCGGCACCCTGTGTCTATACCGCTATCTTTCTCTTTTCAAACTCCTTTCGTCTGCACGTTTAATTTTATGTGAATCAAACCTTATCTGTATCTCTTCGATTCAATAAATAAAAAAAAAGAAAGATATGGAACTGAAGCGTTTCGAAATAGCTGTATAATCGTTCGCGACAGCGAAAATCCACACATTCCACCAAAAGGTGCTTGACAGTCAAAGGACTGTGACAGATGAAGAGATCATCCCCATTCAGTACAAAAATGGGTGCCTGCATACACTGACCAAAAAGAAAAAACGCATAACCAAAATATCAGTTTAGCTTTACGTGTTTTATAAAATCGGATTACACAATAAATAAAGAATGTACAACAACCAAATTTTACACAAGGTTAGGCACATGTTTCCTCCACTACATGCAGTCATGTAATGCTCTAGGGGACATCTGTGTCTGTGACGGCACTGTGACAAAGTCAGTACCTGGTGTGACCACCTCGAGCATCGATCACTGCTCTGCACCGCCTGGGCATGGACTGAATGAGTCGTCGAATCTGGCGTTGTGGAATCCTTCTCCACTCATCCTGCAATGCATGGCTCGGCTGCTGAAGCGTCTGTGGTTGAGGCTGTCGGCGTCGTACACGTTTGTCTAGCAGATCCCACAAATTTTCAATGGGGTTAAGATGCAGCGATTTGGATGGCCATAGCAGCACATTCACATCGTTGTTGGCAAGATAATCCATGGTAACACGTGCAGTATGCGCTCTGGCGTTGTCTTGCTGGAAAATCTCTCTTCTGACGTCAATGCGGCGAATAAGGTGACGTTGGAGGATTTCATCACGGTTGTGTACAGCAGTTAAATTTCCCTGCACGGGCACCAGATCTGCCCTACCATTGAATGATATGCCTGCCAACATCATGACACTCACACCGCCGTATCTATCGACTTCACGAATACAGTGTTGAGTGTAGCTTTCATTTCTCCGTCTGTAGACACGCTTCCTACCATCATGGCGATACAGCAAGAACCCGACTCATCACTAAACCAGATCCTCCTCCAGTGCACTTGGGTCCATGGTCGAACGTTTCTGCTCCACTGCAGACGTGCACGACGATAATGATGCCGCAGAACAGGCGCAGTATATGGTCGCATTGGTCGTATGCCATGCTGTCGTAGGCGATTTCTGATGGTTTGCGCTGATACTCTACGAAGCCCAGGAACATTGTTGGCTGTGTACGCTGCACTGATTGTCCGGTTGCGCAGATGCAACTCCCGGATGAAGTGGTCCTGCGCCAGAGTTGTGACCCGTGGTCTACCAGTTCTCGGTCGATCTCTTGAAGAGTTGTGGAGTCTGTAGCGCTGCCACAGACGGGAGATGGTACTCTGCCTCACGTTGAAGAGCCTGGCTACTGGTGACTGACTTTCTCCAGCTTCCAGACGTCCAATGGCTCTGTTTCGACAGTCTTCATTCAGTCTTGGCATCTTGAGGGGCGCTTATACAGAACAGCTTAGAGTGATTCGCAACGGAAGTGTCAGATTTAGTTTTAGTACCCGTATTTGTACGTGCAACATGCTTACAGCTTTTTCTCCATGCGATTTCTCCCAGTGTTAATTCAAGGTGTTGTATTTTGGCGACAGTTTACCAAATGTTGCGTTCGTGTGCAATGGCTTAGTGTAAGGGCTGTATTGACAGTTACCAATGCCTTTTATATTGATTTCAAGCCTTCATCTTAAAAACATTCTACTTTGAAAAATAGATTTTAGCTATGCGTTTCTTTTTTTTGCCCAGTATATAATGAGAGCGTCCACTTTGACCCCTTTGGATCACCACTTCATTGGCGATTTAGACCAGTTAGGGCATAATGCGTTATCAATGGTTGTAGGGCATGAAGCTTCTTATAGATTTGTTTGGTCCATATTTGCTGTCAAATGTTTTTACCACATTAATAAACTAGCGTCCAAAGGAAACGCCACCAAACAGTTTTCTTCACTAAAACACAACAAAAGCAAATTATGGTAACAAGAAGTGTTGTATTGTAAAACACAATCAGTCAGCAGCAGTTCTTGAAACTTTTCAGTTAGAAAAACGAAACAGTTCGTGTTCTGAAGGCACATGGATGACACAGGGGTGCAGTGTCAAGTATTCGATCGCTAACGCTGATTCGTCTTTAAGGTCTTAAACTGTCCTGAACAACAGAGATGATTCAGTATCGTGTGTGGCCACCCCTGCAAGCTCTAACGCGGCGTCGAACTGAGTATGTGAGCCTTCTGACGTCATCATTAGGGATTTGGCGCTACTCCTCTTGAAAGGCAACTGCCAAAGCGTCCATAGTCAATGGCGGCTGTTGACGTTTCCGAATACGTTGCCCCAGTTGGTCCCAGAGGTGTTCGATTGGAGACAGATCGGGTGATCTCGCTGGCCACTGTAGCAGGTTGGCGTTGTTAGTGTTGAGGAAGTCACTAGTGATCCGAGCTGTGTGAGGCGTGGCGTTGTCCTATTTTTTTCCAATGTCATGTCTAATGCTCCTGGCCTAAAAGTCCTTGGGTGACGTTGCAGGTAAGGCAGCACCACAGGCCGTAATCTCGTCGATGTAACGACGTGCGGTGAGATTACCGTTGATGATAACGAGATCTGTCTTCTGGTCCCCACAAATTCCGCCCCAGACCATAACGCTTCCACCGCCGTAATGCTCCACTTCTGGGATGCAAGCAGGTGCCGTCCGTTCGCCCCGACGTCGGTAGATTCGAACACGACCATTAGATTTGAAGAGCTGGAACCTGCTCTCGTCACTGAAGTGCGCTCTTCGCCAGTTTCGCTGCTGCCACTGCATTACGGTCCTGGCCCACCTCAATCTGGCACGCCGGTGTCGGAGCGTTAACGTCATGCCCTTGAAAGGTCGATAGGCACGAATACCATGCTGACAGAGTCGTCTTGCTACGGTCTGTCTGCTGACTGCATGTCCAAGGCTATTGGCGCTTGATGACGTCACAGTGAGGTAGCGATTTTTCAGATGAAACACCCGTAAATATCGATCTTCCTGTGGGGTCGTGACCTTGGGCCTGCCACTCCTGGATCTGTCAGCAGTACTGCCAGTCTGTCTGTGACGTGTGACAAGTCTGGCGATGGTGGACTTGCAGCATCCCATGGTCCTGGCCACGTGCGCCTGTGTTGCGCCCATCTGAAGCATACCAATTGCTCTTTCCCGCTGTTCTTTGGTCAATCGAGGCATGTTGGCTGCTTTCAATCGTTTAACATGAGAGAGAACAAATCTAGTCAGGTTTTATACCCTCATGTCATACGGGTAACTTTGTGCACAACTTCCATTTTTTTCTGTGCGAATTCATTTAACTCACCAATCATCAAAATCTCGTGCACTTGTTCACTGGGAATAGTTTTTCAACAGATTGGCAATTATTTTGACAATTTATGATAATTTTTATTTTGGTGGCGTTTCTTTTGGACGCTAGTTTAGCAGGTTGTAGCATTTATGCACTGTTGGTTCATGGTAGCCTATGTATGTCAGTTGTCTTCTGGTTTCGATAACGTTTTATAAAATAATGGATATATTGAGGATGACTAAGTTAAAAATAATTTTCATTGCAGATGATCAATACCTTGGGGAATCCTGTTCAAATCAGGCACCAAGTTACCAAAGTTCCAAGAATTCACTGTCAGTCCGGTTTACCACTGATGACGTCACAAATAAGAACGGCTTCAGGATGCAATATTTTGCCCGCAAAGGTATTCGTTGTTTCACTGTAGTTGCAGATGCATGTACCTACACGAAGGTGCAGTGAAAGCTCGCAAACGCGAGCCCAGTTGCTTGTGTATAACTGTGTTTGATCAGCAGAATCACAGATCTTCAGGCTCCACATTGAATACACAATGCCATTTAGAAAGTGGTCAAATGTAACATATGTTACATTTGGGGTTACACTTTCTTAGTAAAGTGCCGATTCTAGTACTTTTATTGTGTTGAATCCCATCCAGGATTCGAACCCACACTGAGCGAGTTAGGTGGCTGACTGTGTGCTGGCGATAAGGTGCCTGACTCTTAGGGCTTGGGTTCGAATCATGGATGGGACTCAACCCAACAAAAGTACTAGAATCGGCACTTTACTAAGAGAATGTGTAATCCCAAATATAACTTGCAGTCTCCAAAGTGATTACTCCGTTTATGTCGAAGAACGGATAACTCGAAATCTTCGTTTGCGTGATGTGTTATAGTCGTTGCCGCTATGATGACACTGCTATTGATTTGCAATGAAAACTAAATATTCTCACATAATTTAGCATTAAATGGCGATTGCATGCAAATTTAGATGAGAGAGAAAGTAATCATTTAAGGAATATTCTTGGTAGCAGATTTACTATATATAGCGTAAACGTGGCTATGGACCATGCAGAAATTCTTATGTTTGTAGCATATAATCTAAATATATTTTACATTGACAGTTGGTGACTGCAATAATACGTTTCTGGTTTATTTCTCACCCTTGATCATTCTGTCACCTGGATATCCCGACTCGTATGAAAGGTAAGTTAAATGAAATACTATTATAACGTTTTGCCGTAAAACGCATAACACCGGTCCAAGTTTATACATCTGGTGTTTTTAAGAACTTAAAAATACTCAATATTGCATCTTTAATCATATAAACAGTTGCCACCAAACAAGGTTTGTCAAGATTAACAGGGTTTCATTGTATAATGCAGATACCTGGACGACCATTGTTATATGAGTGAGCAAGTGAATATAGTAGCAATATTCCAGCAATATCGTGGCAGGGGACACCAGAAAGTGGCTTCACACACTGTACCCATGTGGGAAATTGAACCCGAGTATTCGGCGTGACGAACGAACGCTTTGACCACTAAGCTACCCTATCGCCCCAATTTTATATGAGTTTATACCCCCATTCATCAGTTTCAAGTACGCTCTTCCTATATGACTGGAATGTCTTTAAACATTTGATACAGTACAGCATGGGGCCAAATGCTATCATCCTTGGATACGTCCTTGTCCGATCAGCCTTTTGTTGATATCAATGAATAACCTCGTGTTAAATCTGTCCCCAGCATAATCAATTTTGTAAATTAGACTTTTTCTTAGGGACAGATAAATCCGACATCCGTGTAGTTTACCTTAGTTATTACCGGTCTTGATCTCCTGACTTGTTGGGCGTGTCTACTCATGAACACTTTTTGACAGGTGAGACTCCTCCGTATCGTATCCTTTGTGATGTTTGGGATGAAAGAATCACGGCCAGGCATGTCCTGCTTTACTGCATTGATTTTTCCATCACAAGGGATCAATATTTCAATGTAACTACGGTTAAGGACCTTTTTTATAATGCTAACGATCATTTTATTATAGCTTTTTTTAAAAAGGAAATTGAACTGATTAAATTTAGTTGATATTGATATGTTCACGTATTTTCTCATAATTGGAAGTATAAATATAAAACTGAAATTGTTAGTGGCTGTATCCTCAAAGAGGCTTGAAGTATTGTAAAATTATGGTCCTCCTGGGACATCCAAAATAAATTTAAACTAACCAGATTTTTGGAACCTAGTATTTTTGTCATTTAAAATTATGGCTCATGGTCCCTAGTATGGTGATCCACCTTCCTTTGTGAGCCTGTTTATATATTGCATTATTCTCTTTAACAATGTCGATTTATGATAACATGCTAGTTTTACTTTAATATCTGTGATACTCTATTAGTTTTAGTGTTCTTCGGCAACAGGTTTTTAATTTCTACATACACTAAACGCCTCCTTCCTTAATGACGGAGGTACCTATCTTCAGCTGGCGTTGTGATGCGTGGACGTCCACTTCTTGGTCAGTCTACAGTGACCCCAGTCTGTCTGAAGCCCTAAATAAGTGACATCCGAGGACGTTGGCAACAGCATTGTATGTCGACCCAATCTGCACCATCCCAATGGTTTTTTCTCTCCCTTCAGCTGTTAATCGTGGCACATTTCTCGTACCTGTGTATCATATCGTGTATTCTAGGCTCTCTTTATACCCTATAGAATCATTCCACATGTGAAATGGATGTAAATACTGCTTGAATATTGCTGCGTTTTGGTGATTGATATTGCTATGTGTAAACAACAAGTGGACAAAGATAATTTTAGATGTTCCTAAACATTTTTTCACAATATCAAAGACACGTTTTACTTGGTTTCAATAATGCAAATCAGCAGAAAATGTTTTAAAAGACTGAAAGCATAGGAATGATTATTTTACAATTTTACACACTCTACAACAGTTGTTTCTTGTTATAATAGTTGAAAAATGGTGACTTTAAATGGTTTATCATTGTCCCAAAGCAGAAATCTATTTCAACCTTTCTTTTGGACATCAAAATCACTATTATTGGTTTATTTCGGCATGGACGAATATAGGACAATTTAACTTTTCTGAGAACGATGCATTTCACCTAAATATGAATGCATATGAGAAATTCTTTTCGTATTTGCATAAAGCCGTGTTGTTAAGCTTTGATGTAACCTAAAACCTTCTAACATATCTTTGATAGTTTTTCAGTAATTCATAAAGGTAAGAAGGTAACGTTTCTTTTGGCGTATAGTGTATATTCATCTATCCTGAACCGCAAAAGGAACGTCATACCGATAAAGGTTTTTAAAACACACATTTTATTTCACTTTAACTAACAATCAAAAAGGAGCATTGAGTTCAAACTTGTCAATTATGATGAACACATTTTCGGGAATCAAATTTAGAGTTCACACAAACAAAATCACCAAAAATGGTTCCAAAGATACCCCAAAGTCAGTAGCGTGTGTAGCCCACATGGGCTTCGGTGAAAGCATTGCGTTGTCTGTACATGGAATGAATTAGCCGGTTGATGAAGACAGTTGGCTCCATACTGTACGAAATACCCGATCGTGTCCAGCCACAGTTGTCGGCCTTGGTTGGAGGTCATTCAGTCTTCATTCAATCTCGTCCCAAAGGTGTTCTGTTGGAGGGGCGGTGGGGTAGTATAGTGGTTAAAGCGTTGGCTCGTCACGCCGAAGACCCGGGTTCGAATCCCAACATGGGTTCAATGTGTGAAGCCCATTTCTGGTGTCCCCCGCCGTGATGTTGCTGGAATATTGCTAAAAGCAGCGTTAAACCAAACTCAGTCAGTCAGTCAGTGTTCTGTTGGACTTAAATCCGGACTGAGTGCAGGCCATTGTAGGGTTTGGATGTGATATTGTCTTAGGAAGTCCGATGTCGCTCTGGCAGTGTGGGCACGAGTGTTTTCCTTCTGGAAGATGTGATTTCTGTGACGTCCGAAATGTGGTACAACGTGGGGTCTTATGACTTTATTCAATATAGCGAGCAGCTGTCACGTCATTTCCTCATTCTGGACTGAAATTCCGGAACACCACGGGGCCAACTAACTGGTTCAGATGCTTGGACCACCCCACCAGTGGCTTTCAACAATACACTCGTTGGAAAACAGCTCCCCACGCCTTTGCCATGCACTCAGTCTGCCATCGGCTGTCAAAACAGAATATCGGCTTTCATTAGTTCTCCATTGTCGATAACGCTAATTTCGATGCTGAAATGCCCATTGCCTGTCGGTTTTGGCGGTGAGGACAGGACCACGATATGGTCAGTGACAGCAGAGATTTCTTCCGCGCAAACGTCTACGCACTGTATTGGCAATAATGGGTCTGTTGTGAGTCCCAATGGTCTAGGGTTTCATTGTATAATGCAGATACCTGGACGACCATTGTTATATGAGTGAGCAAGTGAATATAGTAGCAATATTCCAGCAATATCGTGGCAGGGGACACCAGAGAAGTGGCTTCACACACTGTACCCATGTGGGAAATTGAACCCGAGTATTCGGCGTGACGAACGAACGCTTTGACCACTAAGCTACCCTATCGCCCCAATTTTATATGAGTTTATACCCCATTCATCAGTTTCAAGTACGCTCTTCCTATATGACTGGAATGTCTTTCTTTAAACATTTGATACAGTACAGCATGGGGCCAAATGCTATCATCCTTGGATACGTCCTTGTCCGATCAGCCTTTTGTTGATATCAATGAATAACCTCGAGTTAAATCTGTCCCCAGCATAATCAATTTTGTAAATTAGACTTTTCTTAGGACAGATAAATCCGACATCCGTGTAGTTTACCTTAGTTATTACCGGTCTTGATCTCCTGACTTGTTGGGCGTGTCTACTCATGAACACTTTTGACAGGTGAGACTCCTCCGTATCGTATCCTTTGTGATGTTTGGGATGAAAGAATCACGGCCAGGCATGTCCTGCTTTTACTGCATTGATTTTCCATCACAAGGGGATCAATATTTCAATGTAACTACGGTTAAGGACCTTTTGATAATGCTAACGATCATTTTATTATAGCTTTTTTAAAAAAGGAAATTGAACTGATTAAATTTAGTTGATATTGATATGCTCTGTAGAAAGAAGTATTTTTTCATTATTGGAATTATAAATATAAAACTGAAATTGGAAGTGGCTGTATCCTCAAAGAGGCTTGAAGTATTGTAAAGTTATGGTCCTCCTGGGACATCAAAGTTTAGTTTGAGCCTGTTTATATATTGCATTGTTCTCTTTATTTATGATAACATGCTAGTTTTACTTTTAATATCTGTGATACTCTATTTGTTTTTAGTGTTCTTCGGCAACAGGTTTTTAATTTCTACTTACACTAAACGCCTCCTTCCTTAATGGCCAGTGGCTGTATCCTCAAAGAGGCTTGAAGTATTGTAAAGTTATGGTCCTCCTGGGACTTCAAAGTTTTAGTTTGAGCCTGTTTATATATTGCATTGTTCTCTTTATTTATGATAACATGCTAGTTATACTTTAATATCTGTGATACTCTATTTGTTTTAGTGTTCTTCGGCAACAGGTTTTTTAATTTCTACTTACACTAAACGCCTCCTTCCTTAATGACCAGTGGCTGTATCCTCAAAGAGGCTTGAAGTATTATTGTAAATTATGGTCCTCCTGGGACATCAAAGTAAATATAAACTAACCAGATTTTTGGAACCTAGTAGTTTTGTCATGTAAAATTATGGGTCATGGTCCCTAGTGTGGTGATCCACCTTCCTTTGTGAGCCTGTTTAGATATTGCATTATTCTCTTTAACAATGTCGATTTATGATAACATGCTAGTTTTACTTTAATATCTGTGATACTCTTTTAGTTTTAGTGTTCTTCAGCAACAGGTTTTTAATTTCTACTTACACTAAACGCCTCCTTCCTTAATGACGGAGGTACCTATCTTCAGCTGGCGTTGTGATGCGTGGACGTCCACTTCTTGGTCTGTCTACGGTGACCCCAGTCTGTCTGACCCCAGTCTGTCTCAAGCCCTAAATAAGTCTTGTAACCGTGATACGGTGACATCGGAGGGCGTTAGCAACAGCATTGTATGTCGACCCAATCTGCACCATCAAATGGTTTTTCTCTCCCTTCAGCTGTTAATCGTGGCACATTTCTCGTACCTGTGTATCATATCGTGTATTCTAGGCTCTCTTTATACCCTATAGAATCATTCCACATGTGAAATGGATGTAAACACTGCTTGAATATTGCTGCGTTTTGGCGATTGCTATTGCTATGTGTAAACAGAAAGTGGAAAAGTGTTACTTTGCAAGCAAAAAATATTAACAAAGATAATTCTAGATGTTCCTAAACATTTTTTTCACAATATCAAAGACACGTTTTACTTGTTTTCAATAATGCAAATCAGCAGAAATTGTTTTAAAAGACTGAAATCATAGGAATGATTATTTTACAATTTTACACACTCTACAACAGTTGTTTCTTGTTACTCACTCAAAACTTCAGGTCACTAAATGAAAGCAGAAGTGATCTGATAGCTACAGTTGAAAGCAATATGTAAATGCCTAATATTTGGTATCCATGTAAAACACGGGGTTTGGAGGCTTTGACAAGAATCATGATCGAGTTCACGTTTTTGATGATGTGTTTCGTTATGTATATGAAACGGAATGTCTGCTCAAACTTGTTGACAAACTAGTTTGCAAACCAGGAAACCGGGAATTGATATACGTAAACTTCAGTTATATTGAAGGCTTCATGAGGATAAAGTAGCCAATTCCCTTCAACCCACCTTCACAACTAACCAGGAAATTTAGACACTACAGAAACGGGTTATTGTGTACGACTATGGAAAGCGTTTCCAATTGTGACAACCATTCGTCATGATCCTGTCACGCTGACAATTGTGACAACAATTCATCATGATCCTGTCACGCTGACAATTGTGACAACCATTCATCATGATCCTGTCACGCTGACAATTGTGACAGCCATTCATCATGATCCTGTCACGCTGACAATTGTGTATTGTTCCAGTAACTTGGAGTGCTTCATAAAAGTGACCGATGCATCATCGACATTGACACACGACATCAAACTGGACATCGTCGACTCGGATTTAGAGGGCGCCTACCCACACTGCGATAAGGACTCTGTTACTCTTCATCAAGGTGTGTGATAAGTGATACACTGTTCAAAGTGGTGTTAGGCCTATCGCTTACACAGAAACTGTTTGATAAAACATCCAAGACCTCAGTAAGCTGGTAGACATGTGAACACACATGTGAAAGTGATTCATTTGAACGAAATTAAATGCTCTTGATATAGTCAAAATCGTGATATTGACTGCTATTCTTTACAGTAGATTTCACAGGTAATTCTTGCTTTTTCATATACTCCGAGTTAGAATCGGTCTTCAGTAACCCATACTGGTCGTAAAAGGTGACTAATGGGATCGGGTGGTCAGGTTCGCTGGCTTGGTTGACACATGTCATCGCATCCCAATTGCGTAGAACGATGCTCATGATCTTCATCACTGGATTGTCTGGTCCAGACTCGATTATTTACAGACCGCCTACATATAGCAGGAATATTACTAAATTCGGCGTAAAACTTAACTCACTCACTCACTACCTGATGAAACTGTGTCATGTATTCATGTTCGTCCAACTTCTAAGTGCCTTTTGTCGCTTTTATCCAAATCATTCATTACTTTATACCTGGCAGAAATAATCCTGCAAATTTGACCCAAACTTTACGTTAAAATTCGAATTACGAAATGAAGAACTGAAGTTCATTCTGAAATTAAAGTGCGAATAAAATATCTTTGTCTTTGTCAATAATCTTTGTTTGGTATTTTGTTGTTAGGTTTCTATCGAGGTGGGAACGAAAGCACCTTTTGTGGTGATTCTTCAATAACCTCCTTTGGACCGTACTACTTCGGATTATATATGATAATGGTGTTCAAGACAAACGGTGACACAAGTGGTCGGGGCTTCCGAATTCGTGCTTCTCTTAGCTTACAGAAACGTGTGTACAATACTCAAATTGAAAAACTACAAACTCAAAAACATAAAATATACACTGCACATAATCATTTTCTAAGTAGATGATCATGGGATTTCATGACATAACAGATGTATTGTAAGTCCCCATGGTCAGTCGTATGGTGATCTACCTTCACTTGTTGGCAATCTATATCCTGTTTTTATATTGTATTTAAATTTAATTAAAATTTAATTACTAGTGTTATATCTGTGATAATCTGGTTGTTTTACTGTTCTTCATTGACAGGCTTTTATAATTTACCATCCATTATTATGAATCTATAACTTGATTTAGTCACGATGTGGCTGAAACACTGCCGATGTCACTTAAAATCTTAAGTCACTCACTCACTATGACATCACAGGAAAGTGGCATTATGTGATTGAATCCTCAATGTTGCAGCGGAACCACCCCAGTCAGGAGACTGTGGCTCTCTGTTCCTTAATGCGACAACAAATAGACAGCTCTTACAGTCCCCTGGATACCCTGTCCGATATAAAAAGTAAGTATTCATCTAGTGCATATGGATATAGTACATGAGTGCATGCATGCGTGTATGTATGCTTGCAGTAGCGGTACACGTGAAAATCCCAGCTAACATAAAAATGTTATAAAAACATCCCAAAACATTTCGTGAAATGTTCCAGAAATATTTTTTTTAAAGGTTTTATTCACATGATTTTGTATGGTTACAAAAGATGTTTTAGAAATATTTACTGAAACGTTTGGCTAATAGTATGATGTTTTCAAAATGGTTTTGATAATGTTATGAAAATATTTTGACGAAAATATTTTTGAAAAGCAATTTTGAAACCTCATGAAAATGTTTCGAAAATGTCTTGTGTTAGATCATTCTCTTCCCACAGAGGTTACTTGTCATATCTTCCTACGAACCTCTGTTCTAATACGGCCATATTTCCCGGTTTTTGTAAAATACCCTAGCGGCAAAAGATCGCAACACGAATTATCTCCCTTCTTTCTATCCAATCAGAACACGTGTTACATCGACTTAGATTCAACATGACTAACACAAGCAAATGTGGGGCCACAAATATCCCCCATCTGCCGGGGACTTTATGTTGATTTACACACAAGACGTTTAATGGCTAGCTTGTCCGTTGTCAACGAGGGCGATGGAGACGTCCCTGATCCGCCATAACATGACTGAGTTCTGTCTAGAAGAAACGTTTGCGCATCGCGCAGGGGAAGATGTTTAGTTTTCTTGAAGCATACGGAAATTACCGAGGCCTTGCGAATGATCACTTTTGAAACAACGTCGCTGATTGCACAACTTAATCTGATTGCCTCCAGTCACGAGTCTTGAACGCTCACACCATGAAAGGGCCGTATTAGAACAGAGGTTACGCAGGAAGATATGACAGGAGTAATCTCTGTGGGAAGAGAATGGTGTTAGATGGGATAATCCTATTCACCAGACAGAATACTTCTTTAATGTGGACTTACAATGAGCCTGTTTCTCGTAAATAACGTAGATGAACATTGCACGTCATTCCGGTATTTTCGATACGATTCATAGTGCAATTATGAAACAAGAAATCATCGAATACATGAGAAAATGTTGAAGTGTACATGCTGATCGTGATGTTATTTGACTTAATTCAGCAATGAAGACTGTCGGTGGACAATAACGGCATCTAATCACGGTATGATGGTGCGCATTGACGTCACTGACTCGGATGTAGGTTCCTATGACGACGGTTACTATGACTGCACATACGGCTATGTTACGGCTTACGACGGTGAGAAATTGTAATTTCTCCTCCATAATCTTACAGTGATCGGGCCACTGACCCATTGCCGTTATGTTCCTGGCATAAACGTTGAGGGTCAAGAAATGGTTTTTTGGAAGGTTGGGGGAGGTGTGTGTGTGTGTGTGGTTTTTTTTGGTTTGTTTAGGAGTGTCTAACGGGCATATGTTTTTGTGATGATAGATTTATTGTTTAACGTTGCTCTCAGCGATATTCATATACGTAGATTAATGTTTTATGATTGGTAGTTTAAATTATTAACTGATATTGTTAGTGATGGTATCCTCGAAGAGAGTTAGAGTATTGTAAGTCCCAAAACAATTAAAGTAAATGTAAACATACAACCATTTTCAACCGTAGTATATATGTTACTGTAATTCATGGCTATATTGTAAAAAAATGCTAACGTCTGAAGGGATGGTGTAAATCCAGCTACGGCCCATGCAAGTCCCAGTGGTCCCTATCAAACTTAAGACAGATGATAGCTTATTCTTAGAAACATTTCTGATGAAGATCCGAGGAAAATCAATATATTTTTCATCTTATCTTAACAAGAAAACAAAGGACAAATCTAATGAATTAGAACCTAAAATAAGAAACTGTGAGGATACAATTAAAAAGATTTTCAAAACGTAGATGAAGCCTTACTATCTGAACTTTCGAAATTTAAATCAGAACTACAACAAATTAAGGAAGAGGAGATAAGAGGAATTCAACTCAGAAACAGAATTTAGTGGTATGGAGAAGGAGTAAAACCAACAAAATATTTTTGTCATGTAGAAAATAGGAATTATATCAGCAAATCAATCAATACAATTATTACAGATAAGAATGAAGAAATTACTGACAGCGATGCAATCTTAAATGAACTTAAATAGTTTAATAAAAAACTGTATTCTTTTGCTTAGAACTATGAGAATGATGCCTATTTAGAAAATGTGATAACTCCAACCTTGAGTCACCAACTGCGAGACAGTTTGGAAAAAGAATTAGACATAAATGAAATCATGGGCAATAAAAGTATGAAAAATAACAAAAGCCCCGGTATAGATGGATTCCAAATTGATTTCTTTAAATTCATCTGGAAAGAACTTAAGGTCTGGACTCTCAGATATATCAAAGATGTTTCAAAAGAAGTAAGATGTCTCTTACCATGAAAAGAGGAGTTATCACTTGTATACTTAAAGCTTATAGAAACAGGGTTTTTTTGAAGAACTGGAGACCAAATACTCTATTAAATGCTCTGTATAAATTAAAAACTACCCTTGATTCCCTGATACAAAATAACCAGACTGGAATTACACCTGGACGAACATTAAGTGAAAATACAAGGTTATTATATGTTATTATGTTTGAAACCTAGAAAAGAGACATGTCCGGTTTACTAATTTTGATTGATTTCGAAAAAGCATTTGACACAGTTTCCAAAGATTTTATCAATTTTGTCCTAGTAAAAGTTGGTTGTGGTCCAAAGATTATACGATGGATTAATGTCTTAACTTATGACACATCTTCATGTGTTATTCAGAATAGACATCTCTCTGATTTCTTCCCAAATCAACGGGGTTGTAGGCAAGGGGGTCCGATATCTCCATTTCTATTTCTTTTTGTTGCTGAAATCCTAGGATGTATGACAAGACAACATGAAACTATAAAGGGTATTGTAATTGATGATCAGGAATACAAATTAAGGGGTGGGGGTGGGGTGCGGGTTGGGTGTCTACGCATGGTTGATATTAAGACCTTTGTTAACGCTATGAAATTATCTACACTCAAATTATATCTAAAAAAAACCACAAATCCCGGTAGCCCATCCAACTTTCCTTTTAAGAATATGCTTAATATTGAGCAAATTTTCAGAATATAGTTGCAGTTTATAATCCTTTCCGGAAAGATGTTGTAAAGGCATTGAAATTATATTGCATCAAAAATATTATAGAAACAGAGAACATTAATGAAATCTTATCCGGACCTTTATGGCTGAATAATAATTTCAAAAACTCAAATCACATTATTAGACACTGGGCTAAAAGTGGAATCTTGACAATCAAAGATCTTTGAGATGAACATGGGTTTATATCCTATGATCACTTGAACCTTACATTTGAGATAAAAGGTACTCAATTGTATCTAAGATATGTTATATATATTTTACCTGAACCTTGGAAAAAGACTTTAAAGGAGTATGGATATATAAACATCAATGATCTCGATATAAATTCTCCCCAAAAGGATTTCATATCCCCAAGAAAAGGTTCAAGATTATTCTATGATAAATTGTTTTCTGAAAATGTTAAACCTTTTGTGCCACAAAATGGGAAACATTATTTGATTGTATTGATTTTGATTGGCATATGAGTTTTGATATTTGCAGAAAGAAATTAAAAGATGTGAAACTTTTAGATTTTCAATTTAAATTTCTGCACGGAATTGTTTATACCAAAAAAGAACTTTCTATAATAAATATTGTTGACAATACAATATGTTCTTTTGTAATGTTTCTGTTGAGACCTTATGCCATGTATATTGGGCATGTGATGAAACCAAAACTTTCTGGAAGAAACTTGAACAGTTGATTACGAAAAGTATCCAAGCACTAAATCTGACAAAAACTTTGATCTGGTTTGGCTTTTTAGGCAAGAACCCATTACTGAATCACAATTCCAAAAGTTTATAATCACTTGAAGATACTGATAGACATATTCACCACTGAAACTTTCATTTCAAGAAGAAATAATAATGTTCAAAGCTTTTAGGCAAATGGTTTCCTTTCATCCCAGAATTTAATCCTGAATGACTATTTAACCAAAACATATTACTGATATTGATATTTAATGTACTATATCTCTATTGAGCCCATTAGCTGTTTTGTACACATATTCCTCTATATGCTTGTATCCAATGTTTTGGGAACAATAAAAAAACGAAAAAAAGGTCCCAGTGGTTCCTAGTATGTTGAATATCCATCACTTGTTGGCAACCTGTAACTGTTTTTTATATCGTATTGTCATCTAAGGTTAAACGTTTTACATGTTATACCAGTTTTATATCTATATCTGTGATCTTCTAGTTGTTTTACTGTACTTTGTTGACAGGGTTTTATAAGTTTACTTTATTTATTATGACACGATAAAATGTTTTAGTCACGATATGCTTGAAATACTACCGATTTGAAAGCCACTCACTCACGATTCTTTGTAGGACCATCGACCTTCAGTGACATTATATCCAGTTGGTGCGGCCCATCACGGCCGACTCTTCAGAGCACTGGACCAGCTATGACAATTCACTTCCACACAGATTCAACATCACTCAAGAGAGGATTCAAGTTGGCATATTTTGAAACAAATGGTATTTCTGGGTTTTTTATAATCTCCCCCCATTCCCTTGTCGTGACAGAAATCCGTCAGCCATAGTTTCAAATTCCAAATCCCCATTATTTTCAGCTATGGTTTGTCAGCCCCACAGATAGAACGTTGGATTTATCAATGTAATCATTGTATCAATCGACTTCTATTGTAACAAGTCCCCCTGCTGAGAGGGTCCTTAAGTGCCCCAAACCTTAAAAGTCAATTTAATCTCTCCACTCTTTTTAATCGTAGAATATGTGTCATTTTAATGTTTGGCTATATTTGTCAGCTGGTGGTGTAAATCCAGCTAGCCTCCATGCCGGAAACAAATGTACTGCAAGTCCCCGTGGGCCCTACTATGGTGATCTGCCTTCAGTTAGTGGCAATCTACAGCCTATTTTTCGTATTGTATTGTTCTTTTTAATAATGTCGTTTTATGATAACATGCTAGTTTTACAACTGTGATACACAAGTAGTGTTCCTGTTCTTTGTCAACGGGCTTTTAATTTATATTTTTATTGATCTGTGACGAGATGGCTCAAAAAATGCCGGGACGATAAAATATTAACTCACTCACTGTAAACTTTTCAGTTTTAACTATATTATAACCAGCTGACTATAGTAGTAGTCATTAATTGTATTCAGCTACGAATGAATCTCATGCATCTTTTCAGAACCATACAATTGTGGTGGAACATTGACTATTTCTACCACTGACAATACAACCTTGACATCTCCTTTTTATCCTGGACCATACCCAAAGTAAGAAAATATAAACAAACTTGTATGTCATGAAATGTAGACTTCCACAGGAAACCTTGACTTATGGAAGACTGAACCTATCCCTCTTGTCAACAGTCTTGCGGGGAGGTTCTGAGTCTTCATGCACACATTTAAGTAGATACAGTCCTTTGGGAAATAGTACAGTCCTGGAGGTACTTTCCATCTGCCTGAACGTCACGATGTTGGAACATTAACAAGTATTAATCAATTTTGAAGCAGCATACGATGATTGTGACAGTGTAACAAATTACTCAGGACCTATTGGAACGAACGAAAAGATATAAACATTAATACATGTGTACCCGAAATTGAACATGTTCCAAAAAATATTTATTTTCCAGTTGTAATTTCATGGTATCCAGACGCTCGCTAGGCAGAATGACTATTATTTTTGCCATGTAAAGATGACATTATGAACCGGGATATGTACACCTCCTTCACCGTATATGTTCCTTGCCTTATATATGGGGCGATGGGATAGTCTAGTTGTTAAAGCGTTCGATTCCCCACATGGGTACAATGTGTGGAGCCCATTTCTGGTGTCCCCCGCCGTGTATTGCTGGAATATTGCTAAAAGCGGCGTAAAACCATTCTCACTCACTCACTCACTCGCCTTAACGTATATGTGGTATGGCCAGCATCACACGTACAAGTGTATTATGATTCTCTGTTTAGCCGCCAGGATTGCAAGTGGATCATACATGCTCCAGCACACACGACTATTGAAGCCCAAATCAGAGACTCAATCGTTGAAGGCGTACTTCCCTGTCCTAACGATTACCTTGAAGTATACGATGGTAATTATTGTTGTATTGTTGATGGTAACTTATGATAACTGCATTATGTGACCTAGTCTTTTACCAATACAAGGGGGCGGTGGGGTAGCCTAATGGTTAAAGCGTTCACTCGTCACGCCAAAGACCCGGGTTCGATTCCCCACACGGGTACAATGTGGAAAGCCCCATTCTGGGGTCCTCCGCCGTCATATTGTTTAAATACGACTAAAAAAACGTAAAATCACTGACTCACTGACTCAATGGCTCCGTCGGGGTGCACCGATACCCCAGTCTATATACCTGCAATAGGTAAGTCAAGGTGCCAACATAATTTGCTAAAGTGTTTGGGGCAGCACCTTACACGAGTTAATCGTCGTTCCAGCAGCACCAGATCCGCGGCAAGTACTTTATCCGAGATACCCCATTTAGTTTTTCCTTGAACAGTTTGTGGTGGCCTAACTTTGGTTAAAATAGTTCACATGTTCAGTAACTAATTTTGAAAATATATGATAATCTAGTTGTTATACTGTCCTTTGTCGACAGCTTCTTATAAAGTATACTTAGACTTATTCTTAATTTATGAATTTCTGTCACCACGATATGGCTGAAATGCTGCCGATGTGACGTAAAATTCTAACTCACTCACTCCTTGAATAGTTCACACTGTTGTCATGCTCATAGGTTGACCAACACTACGTTCACGAGGTATAATTGAGACTTAACATCCGGGACTATGCTCAGTATTTATTAACCAAAGAAATATACTGAACTACATTAGAAACGCACCACCTTATAATACGAAATATCCAAGTCAGACTGTAATGTACCCCTGATATCTGAGCATCGTCGGTGCATTTTCGTGTGTCGTGCGTTTCTAATGTTGTTCAGTATATGTTCAGTGGGTTCATTCACATGACTGGTTTTGTAAATATCTGATTTGTTGTTTGTGCCAAGGCGTGATGTCGAGTTCATCAAGTGCCGGGAAGTACTGTGGCCATGATGACACTGACTACATTAGTTCCGGTCCCATCATCACCGTAAGGTTTCACTCGGACTCATCGACCAGATACAAAGGTTTTCAAATGCATCTCAAGGCGGGACACTTTAGAGGTACGAAACATCTGGTGGCAATTCCAACACAGGACCAAACACGATCTTGGATATACGCACTGTATTACAGGTGCGGTGGGGTACCCTAGTGGTTAAAGCGTTCGCTCGTCACGCCATAGACCCGAGTTCGATCCCCCACATGGGTACAATGTGTGAAGTCCATTTCTGGCGTCCCCCGCCGTGATATTGCTGGAATATTGCTAAGAGTGGCGTAAAGCTAAACTCACTCACTCACAGTATTACATATACCATGAATTTTTCCATCACAAGTCTTAAGTTTTGTAGTGTCCAAACAGAAAAGGACGTTTTTTAATCACGTTCATTTAATCTTGGTCGTTTTGAAACAAACATATCTCATTCGTGAATTATGATGTCATAAGTGATGGCTTTTATAACTTGGTAGAAGATAATTATTAACAGAGATTGATTGTGACTGTGCCTTTGACGGGGTTGAAGTATCATAAAATATTGTCCCCCTGGAGTTCCATTTCAATTAAAGTATTGTTGTATATACTTATGTTTAAATATTAGAATATATGTTATGTTAATGTTCGGCTGAATTTCTCAATAATAGCCAACATCTAAAGGGATGGTGTAAATCTAGTGGTGGTCCGATTACTTGAAAAAAATCGAAGATTGGTCGCAATGACTAAACGACCAAGCAATCGATCATGTTTTCTCATAATCGAACACAAACAATTCTGGAACACTTGATTGCATTAACAATATTTTTTACAAGGTTGGTTTTGTCTGTTGCATTTCATAAACATTACAAGCTCGTTCCAAGTCAGGATTGAATTTATCTTAAAGACTCCAGGAAATTTATGTTCCTAACCTACTAGTCATCCTTTAAAGATGTTAAATTTGCACATGCATTGTGTGGAATTTGCAAAAAGACTCATAAGAACTACATGTTTTTTCTTTGTTTTTAGTGCAGTAACAAACATAACCAGAAAAATTTGATAAATGATGCTGACCAATTATTTTCGATGATTGATCGGTTGTAATGAACCAATCATCAATTATGAGATTTTATCCAATTCCCAACACTATGTAAATCCAGCTAGGATTCATGCAGGTAGCAAAAATAAAGTCCCCATGTAGGTAGTATGGTGATCTACCTTCAGTTATTGGCGATAATCAGCCTGTTTGTACTGTCTAATTCTAGAGATAGATACTCACTCACTCACTCACATATAACATGACGGTAATACGCATCTTGGCTCCCTCCTGTGTGTAAATATACTCGAAGGCAATAGGAGAAAACATAATACTCGCATAATACAGTTTTTATTCCTAATATATGATATTAATGATACGGAAACACACTCGGTTAATAAACTCTATTTATCACAGTATGAATTTGGGAAGAACGTACTCAAGCCGCCTGCATTTTCACCCAAACAAATTGTGATCACTTGACTGAAAAGAATACAGCTCGTTTCGTGATATAGTTTTGCTTTTGTTAACATTTAAAAAATGCATTCAAAATTTCAGTTGGATATAACTTTTTGGTGCAAATTACACGAGTTACGATCATCTGTGAAACAGCTATCAGATTAGCATCAACTAACTCACTCACTCGACAATCAGCTTATTGATGTTACAAAGTATGACTGTGTATTATCATGACAGTAGCACACATCGTTTTCAGCTTCTGGGACAAAGGAGATTTCAGATTCCTACGGCAGCATATATTCTCCAAATTACCCATTTAGTTACCCAAGGTGAGTATTCATGGGATCACATTTCCTTTCCACGAAATCGATTATTTATACCGATTATGTTCATGCCAACACGTGTCGGAAGAAAATCAATATTTGGTCAGTCTTCTCTCAATAATCATTGATTAGACTTTACTTGACGAATGCCAAAATGTGTAAAACATAGTGTGACGTAAATGTGACATTAAATTCTAAAATTGTTCACGTTGGCATACCAGGAAACAATAGAGCTGATTCTGCAGCAAAGCCTGCTCTTGCAGAAACAGTAAGACGTACCCATATTCCTTCTATAAGTCAGTATGTTAATCAATGTTGGCAGTCAAATTGGTATCAACAAAGAGATGATGTTGTTTTAACACGTTGACTGCCTATCACGAGTATACACGTAGTATCAATTCTGGCCGAATTTACTACTACAAGTTATCTCGTTGCTGCATCAGTGGTATTTAAATATGCACAAAACACAAACGTCTCCTGACGGTCTTTGTTACCGCAAGGAGACGATTGCTTCTAGTGCCTGTTTTGCCAACATGGGAAACTTGTTTAACATACCACTGATAAAGCATGGGACATTCACATTTTACTCCTTCTTTCGTCTTAACGGGCGATGATGCTCCTGTGTGTATTCCTTATCAGTGCCAGAATACACATACATTCAGATCATGTGGTAACTGCATTGATACATTAAACATATTTTAATGTTTCTAATTTAAAACAACTTTTTACACAATTTATACCCATAAGATTATATCATTTAAAAAAGAAATTAGACTTTATGAGAGATATAGATTTTGCTATATCTGTGATATTTACTGATATTTGAAATTGTCGTTGAGGTCATCCGTTTTAGCACTGTGCATTTTATGTGCACATGTTTGAATTCATAGTTACTAGTTCTCGCCTCGAATAGCTGGAAAATTGTTGACGCGGCATAAAGCAACATGCGTCATGAAGTCGAAGGAAGGTCAAAACCTCAATTGTTTCCAATTGTATGTATATTCTATATTCTAGTAATGCCGAGGTGAGCTGGAAGATTACCGTGAGTGAAGACTTCAAAGTTGAGATCAACGTTAAAGAATCAAGACTGGAAAGGTCAAATGGCTGCATTCGTGACTATGTGGAGGCGTTTGATGGTAAGGGGACGACCCTCAGTAGGCGTTTGGTAATGTTTCAATAGTCAGACGGATAACTAATTCTATATCTTGAAGCACATTCTTGAAGTTGATTTTTTCGACACCCGACTCACATCAAATGGCGGAGGTGCATCGGAGAATTCGAAAATGGGTTCACTATATTCGTCGTTTTTCAAAGAGTAGGCGAAAGTAAATGGCGGTTGTGTGTAATTATACCAGAAGAAGGTAACAGAAGGTTCCACTGTTGTCCAGTCTCGAGGTCATGATCTAAATGACTCTAATGCAACGAATGGATGACGTGAAGAACGTCTTCTTCCATTTCCTAGAGTGAGTGAGTTTAGTTTTACGCCACACTCATCAATATTCCAGCTGTATGGTGGCGGTCTGTAAATAATCGAGTCTGAACCAGAGAATCCAGTGATCAACAGCATGAGCATCTATCTGCGCATTCACATTCAAACTTTTATTCCATATAAAGGTCATAGGCCCAAGTACAAAAACTCACAAAATAACAATGATAGTGACAAAATGGTTAGATACACCTTTTAAGCACTTCTTAACCTTACAGCTTCTTTTACAAATTTTGCTAAGTTAATTCGGATATTCACTTTGTCACAACTTAATAACATGTTAAATATATAAATAGAGGGATGTTTCCAGACATTTTCAGGAATATACTTTTGTCTTAAAATGGAATAAACTTTACATATTAACAGAAAATGGTATTCATCTTCTATACATCCATTCATACAGAAATTACAAAATCGTTCATCGCGAACAATACCGCAACGTCAGCCAACATTTATCATTAAATGCAATTCCCCAGATTTTAGCAAAAATAAAAGCCTTCTATATTCGCGATCCTTTAGAGTGGATAAATAATATTCAACTGTCAATAGAGATGTATATTCTTGATAGAAACATAACTTATTTGATTCACAAACTTTAGAAAACCAATCTTGTTGGTGGCAATCTTTAACCCTTTGCACAAACTTACTAAGAAATAAAGAAAACAATTACCAACTTCCTGAGAGATCCAAACAAATCCCAAACCATAAGAGAACAGTAACTTTTTAACCTGTGAAGCCCATGTAACACGATTGCAGTCGTCTAAAGATGTACACAGAAGATAGCTTTGCTTAGGATATCTATGATTAGGCATTGATAGCAACTTTAACCAATACTGAATACATCTTTATGACAATCAACAAATAAGCCATATCTACCACATTCACCAAGTGCAGGAACATTAGAGACATAACAACCTACACCAATAACATATTTACAAAACTTAACATGAAAACGCTCGATGCATTCAAACTTTGAATGACCCCACACTTCACTAGAATAGAGTAAGATTGGCTTAATCTGAGCATCAAATATCTTGAATAAAACTAAAGAAGAAATATTCTGAAACTTACGCTCTAATTGTTTAACGGATACTAGGGCTTTTCATGCTTTTTGAACAAGAACTTCAATCATAGTATCATTATTGCATGCACAGCAATTATGTTCATCGTGATTTTCAAGAAATTTACTGGCTTCTCTCACATGGTCTTGATCCGTATTCTCATGACTTATATTCATTACTTTTTCGAAGTAATCGACCCACTGTGTTGCCGATATAGAGTTGATATCAGTTGATTTATCCGTTGTTAGGCGTTTAACTTGGCTCCAAAACAACTTTAAAGTTCTTAGAATTAGACGATATCAGGTTCACCATATTTTCCTCATAATTTTCCTTTTTGGTGCGACATAGCTGTCGATATGAGTTTCGTAGACTTCGAAATTCTGACCAAAAATGTAGCTCCCCAGTTGATCTAAAACAATCTGAGTTAGTATATTTCAGCTGCTTCAGGTTTCTACATTCTTCGTCATACCAGCTGGTGTCGTAGGGCTTGTTTGGTGAAGGGTTTCCAAAACATCGCATGTTACATCTATCTGCGCACGATGTTATACATGCTGTTAACTTATGTGCCGCGTCATTGATATCCTCAATGACGTCATTTGTAAAGTTCTCAAGTCCATATAATGCCAGGGCAGTATTTATGCATTTAAGTGTTCAACAAAGAATGGTTTCTGTTCTTCTGTCCACCTATATCTTAACAAACGTTGCACACTGTCACTGTCCCCATCACATCTGTGGGGAGTAGGTGGTATGCACAAGGTTAAGTACGATGGGTAGGTGGTCAGATTCACAACGAGTTTCTACATTTAAGTCATGATCCATGTCAAATATATCAGTTGAACATAAGCAATAGTCCACCATACTGGAGCCATTGTGAGAAAAACAAGTCATGTCATCCCGAGGGTCAGATCTACTTCGCCCATTCATCATGTGTATGTTGTGAGCGCAACAAAAATCTATCTGATCTCGTCCATGAGAATTTATAATTTTGTCGACATAATTCCTGGGATGGTGAAAATTGTCAGCATTATATTCCATATCTTCCAAACTAGGTATATGTTGGTTGTCATCGTGAATGATGAAATCTCTAAGGCCTGCCGTCCTTGAATTAAAATCCCCCATCAAAATGAAACGAATATCTGAAACGTCTATATGTGATATACATGGCAACAAACATTGCTCTAAATAGTCAATTCCTTTTAGCGGTCTTGGATCACTTTTTGATTGAGGAGTTAACCGGGTTGATATAAACACATCCGAACAGAATGTGATGCGATGTTCCATATAAAGATTTATCAAATAAAACAAAGATGCAATCAATGAAACTATTCCAAACCTTCTTTATAAGTGGAATACAATGACATGTGTCAGCCAAGTCAGCGAGCCTGACCATCCGATCCCGTTAGTCGCCTCTTACGACAAGCATGGGTTACTGAAGATCACGGGTCATTGGTCTTTGGAAAGATGCAGAGTTGACTAGGTGAATGATGCTGTGTAAAACCACATATGTCCAGACATCATTTGATATATTAATATACTACACAGTACATTGGTATGCATATTACCTGATCCCGTTAGTCACCTCTTGGGACAAGCATGGGTTACTGAAGATCAGTTTTAACCCGGATCTTCACGGGTTGCATTAGCTTGAAGAAAATAATGATTCATATATTCATTATTTTATAGGGCCGGACTCTAATGCCCCATCACTTGGTCGCTTGTGTGGAAAGAATACATATATCCAAGAAAGTTCTGGTCCTGTTATGTTCCTGAAATTCAAGTCAGATTCATCTGGTGTTGATGATGGGTTCGAGATGACGTATTCGAGAGAAATCAATCATAAATCCAGTGGTAAGTGGAACATATCATTTACAACCTCATTGTCATGGTATCAACTTGAAGTAACCTTGAGACGGACCATTACACGAATGCCTAAGTATGGAAACATATGGGTTTGTGTGTACATGTGAGTTGGATCTGCAATGTGATCATTTCAATAAGTATGGAAACATATGGGTCTGTGTGTACATGTGAGTTGGATCTGCAATGTGATCATTTCAATAAGTATGGAAACATATGGGTTTGTGTGTGAGTTGGATCTGCATGTGAGTTGGATCTGCAATGTGATCATTTCAATAAGTATGGAAACATATGGGTCTGTGTGTACATGTGAGTTGGATCTGCAATGTGATCATTTCAATAAGTATGGAAACATATGGGTCTGTGTGTACATGTGAGTTGGATCTGCAATGTGATCATTTCAACAATAACCCTTTAGGAAAGGTTAGAGTGAGTGAGTGAGTTAGTTTTACGACGCGTTTAGCAATATTCCAGCAATATCACGACGGGGACAGCAGAAATGGGCTTCACACAGTGTACCCATGTGGGGAATCGAACTCGGGTCTTCGGTGTGACGAGCGAAACGCGTTAACCACTAGGCTACTCCACCACCCCTGAACCTTGCAGAAACAGAGCCATTACTGAAGAACCTTAAAGATCCACGATGTCTTGCCTTTATGAAATTAGGTGTAACAATATACAGGAACGCTATATTTAATGGTGAGAAAACTGATCGAATGCAAACAAGGTAGATATTATTTTAGTCTTTGGTGACCATAGTGCAACTACGGCTGTGAGCTAAACACAACGTATAGCATGGTGTTTGAGAAGGGATGTGAGAAATCAAGCTTTGCGCCTCAGATGCCTTGGTACATGTTTCTTACACAAATTACCGTGTATTTTCTAATGTTTGTGTATCATCATATTTTACAGGTTCTAATATCGGAGTCATTATTGGGGGCTCGATTGGTGGCGCATTTTTTTTGCTACTCGTGATAATTGTAATCTGCATAAACACCAAAAAACGCAGAGCAGCCACCGCCGTTCCCGTGCAGGTACAAGTAGTTCAAGTCCCTCTGGTCAACAACTCCGGTCAAGCACCGATCACCAACGCACTGCCCCCAACAACCTTCACTGGACCCCCTACTGACACAACTCAGGGTCTTCCCCTACCTTCTTCAGGGTACGTCAATGCAGAAGCATTGCCCAAGAAAATTTGAGTGAGTGAGTGAGTTAATACCGCCTCCGTGGTGTAGTGGTTAGAGCGTCCGCCCGGAGAGCGGAAGGTCACGGGTTCGATCCCCGACCGCGTCATACCAAAAGACGTTAAAATATGGTACTTGTTGGTCCCTGCCTGGCACTCGGCATTAATGGGTACAACAAGGACTGGTCGGCTCGGAGTCAGTATAATGTGTCTGAGTGGAGTATTCATGCTTCACTGCGGCATGGTATCTCAGTGGGCTAGCACTATAAAACCAGCTTAAGTCTGGGCTAGTACAAGCAGCCGCACATACACATACACACGCATGCACGTCGTCATATGAGCGAAATATTCTCAAGCACGACGTTAAACCCAATTTCACCTCGCCTTGATCCGAGTTGATCATTATGACATAACTTATGTATATTATTGTTGGATTGAGCATGTTCACCTTTCATCTGTCCGGGAAGCACCCAAAAATAGACAACCATTGTATTGTTGCGTCGTCAGCAGTGGTGACGTCATTCAAATCATATTGTGACGTAAAGTCGTATTGACGTCACAAATGAGCAAATTGGCCAACACATGATGTTTATCTCCTAAATAGACAACCGATGATAGTACATGATGTGATGTGATTTATATTTATCTGTATCGATTAATTCCGATTTTTTGTTCACGAAAAATCAAACCATGTGTTTATCTGCAGTTATGTATAATTTGAACCAATATATATAGATACACCTGTTTATATATAGATACACTTGTTTTATGTTTTCTTTGATGTTGAAGTTATGTACAGAAATCTATAATGTGAATATTTAGTGATCACGTAAATGTATCAGCGTGGTGTATTTGTCAGATCTCTGAGGAACATTTAGTCGAACATCAGTGTGGTGTATTTGTCAGATCTCTGAGGAACATTTAGTCGAACATCAATGTGGTGTATTTGTCAGATCTCTGAGGAACATTTAGTCGAACATCAGTGTGGTGTATTTTGTCAGATCTCTGAGGAACATTTATTTGAATATCAGTGTCGTGTATTTGTCAGATCTCTGAGGAACATTTAGTCGAACATCAATGTGGTGTATTTGTCAGATCTCTGAGGAACATTTAGTCGAACATCAGTGTGGTGTATTTGTCAGATCTCTGAGGAACATTTAGTCAGAACATTCAGATCTCTGAGGAACATTTAGTCGAATCTCTGTCGTGTATTTGTCAGATCTCTGAGGAACATTTAGTCGAACATCAATGTGGTGTATTTGTCAGATCTCTGAGGAACATTTAGTCGAACATCAGTGTCGTGTATTTGTCAGATCTCTGAGGAACATTTAGTCGAACATCAATGTGGTGTATTTGTCAGATCTCTGAGGAACATTTAGTCGAACATCAATGTGTGTATTTGTCAGATCTCTGAGGAACATTTAGTCGAACATCAATGTGGTGTATTTGTCAGATCTCTGAGGAACATTTAGTCGAACATCAATGTGGTGTATTTGTCAGATCTCTGAGGAACATTTAGTCGAACATCAATGTCGTGTATTTGTCAGATCTCTGAGGAACATTTAGTCGAACATCAATGTGGTGTATTTGTCAGATCTCTGAGGAACATTTAGTCGAACATCAATGTGGTGTATTTGTCAGATCTCTGAGGAACATTTAGTCGAACATCAATGTGGTGTATTTGTCAGATCTCTGAGGAACATTCAGTCGAACATCAATGTGGTGTATTTGTCAGATCTCTGAGGAACATTTAGTCGAACATCAATGTGGTGTATTTGTCAGATCTCTGAGGAACATTTAGTCGAACATCAATGTGGTGTATTTGTCAGATCTCTGAGGAACATTTAGTCGAACATCAATGTGGTGTATTTGTCAGATCTCTGAGAACATCAATGTGGTGTACATTCAGTCGAACATCAATGTGGTGTATTTGTCAGATCTCTGAGGAACATTTAGTCGAACATCAATGTGGTAGTTACCAGATCTCTGAGGACCATTCAGTCGAACATCAATGTGGTGTATTTGTCAGATCTCTGAGGAACATTTAGTCGAACATCATTTGTGTTTAGTCGAACATCAATGTGGTGTATTTGTCATTTAGTCGAACATCAGTGTCGTGTATTTGTCAGATCTCTGAGGAACATTTAGTCGAACATCACATCAATGTGGTGTATTTGTCAGATCTCTGAGGAACATTTAGTCGAACATCAATGTGGTGTATTTGTCAGATCTCTGAGGAACATTTAGTCGAACATCAATGTGGTGTATTTGTCAGATCTCTGAGGAACATTTAGTCGAACATCAGTGTCGTGTATTTGTCAGATCTCTGAGGAACATTTAGTCGAACATCAATGTGGTGTATTTGTCAGATCTCTGAGGAACATCAATTCAATGGTGTGTATTTGTCAGATCTCTGAGGAACATTTAGTCGAACATCAATGTGGTGTATTTGTCAGATCTCTGAGGAACATTCAGTCGAACATCAATGTGGTGTATTTGACAGATCTCTGAGGAACATTTAGTCGAACATCAGTGTCGTGTATTTGTCAGATCTCTGAGGAACATTTAGTCGAACATTTGTTTTTGACGTATTATGCATGTACTAGATTAGAAGTGATTTCTCTTCTTTGGAGTTTGTGTTTAATATACTGGGTATAACATTTCAATAAAACAAACCCTGGAGACTTGTTAATTTCCTCGAGTTTGTTTTATGTACAGTATGAATAAATTACGTACAAGCTAGTGCTGGTGATGAAACTTGATGAAACTTGTCTCATCGTTTATGTCGAGCGTTCGAAATTAATACTGAGATGTGACATATTTGTATAAACAATGTTATTAAAGATGTGTGTATAATGAAATCTTTACTGACGAATTGTATGTTTTAAACACATACACTCCACGTACATCAGCGACCGTTTCATGAACAAATATCATATACTAGAAGGTACAATGAATAATAGATATATGAATATTTATTATATCGACAACACTCCATTCATAAACCCCTAAAAGGAAACAGCAAGGCTTGTGTAGCAGCAAAAGGTGCTCTTGAACAACCCTTCACACGCACTGAGATCCCGTATACCGATTGTAAGATTAGTCAATATAATAATCATTGCTGGCAGTCAAAATGGGATACACAAATCAAAGACAGCCGATCGTAAGTGTTAACCATATCAGCACACGTTGTCGTTGAGATGATGTTGCCTTACGACGTTGCCGTTGCCGGATAGGCCATTCTCATTTTACCCATCCTTTTAACGGGCGATGATGCTCCAATGTGTATTCCATGTCAAAGTCAGTTTACCATGAAACATGTACTGTTAGACTGTGAGGATACAATATTGCTAAGACAAATATATTTTAATGTTTCTACTTTAAGACAACTTTTTTACACAAGCTCACAACCACAATGTACTATGAGTTTTGAAAGATATTGATCTTTGCGAGAACTTTTGGAGAAATTGTCTTTTACTTGTGTTATTTGACATGATATATACTGAACATCATCGAAAACGCACCACCTGTATTAGTTTGGATTTCCAAGAGCATAAATGAGCAATCGGTGTAACTTTTACATACTTTTGTAGTCCAATGATTGGTAAAGAAAAGAAACAAGAACCAATCCAGCAAAACAGTGAAGTTTTAATTCAGCTGACCATGAAAGAAAGATGGAGTCAAATTGGAAAGTCAGTAACGTGTATGACCACACAGACACACACACAGACACACAGACACACACAGACACACACACACACACACACACACACACACACACACACACACACACACACACACACACTCAAAAGTTGGGTTATGCGTGGCCACAGTTGTGATTCGCTCTCCATTGCGACGATAAATCTTCCGCCGACCATTGTGGAAGGACAAATTGAATCTGCTTTCATCTGTGAAGAGCACACGAGACCATTGACGTTGATTCCAGCTGCCATGTTGTCTACTCCGACTCAAACGCGCTTGCCTGTGACTTGATGTTAGTGGTTGCTCTTAAACGTCGACGAACGGTGCTCCTGGATATCCTTACACGACTATAAAACATTAATTGATTGACTTAAATTGTTAACATTGAAGTGTTCTGTCTGAAGATCTGCTGCTTTAAGGAAATAGTTACGTAACGCAGTGTTAATCGTGTGCCTGTCATCTCAGACTGTTGTGACTGGGGCGACCTGGTCGACCAGCATATTCCACGGACCCATTGGCCTGAAATCTCTACCACAGTCTACCAATAGCACTCTGATTCACATTAAAGCGGACAACAACGTGCCGCTGAGTTTGGCCAGATTCGAAAAGGCCTATAGTCTGACCCCTTTCTGGAAGTGTCAAAAACGTCTCATTTTAAGCTGCGTTTTCAAACAGGTAGCTGAACAGTGAACGACGGTGAAAAAGCATCAATGCATGTGTATTGTCCTCCACTTTCTATGGATAGAGCTACTTGCGCGTGCAAATCAAGTGGCAGGTGAATTTCCAGAGACAAATTGAATAGAAAATGTGCTGTTTGTAACAGAATATATCGGACGTTAAAGAATGTAATACTAACATTTCAACAGCCTGTTTTTCCATGTTAAGAAAGTTTGTAAAACATTCAGAGATATTTCAAACAAAAACTAAGTTTCACAACTTTTGAGAAAGTGTGTTACCAATAGCTTGACCCTTCATTAATGACGCCCAGTATATATTTGTTCAAAAAACGGTGCATCTCAGAGACAATCCGCGTTGATGTGAGCACAGACTGGCCTTAAAGCTGCAATCCAATCCCAATATTTGCCTATACGACTTCGGTGTACGGGAAGTTAACACCACGATTGGTACCAAATCACACTTCATGGGTAACACATGTGGACAGTCTCGGCATAAGTAATAATAGTTTTTCATAAAAAAAGATAACAGAACCAAATATTAAAAAACATGGTTGGTTCTAATTACTGGGCGGATGTAGAGTTTAAAAGCTGTTGATCAGTGGATTGTCTGGTCTAGACTTGATAATTTGACTGCTGAGATATAGTTTGAATATTTCACATAAATCAATGGGAGAGACTGTTGATCAAGTACAAAGTGAGCAAACAGTCCTGTTAAACAAAGCAACCCAGTGGTCGATAACGTAAGCATCAAGTTCAGTCATTAAGGCTTGAAGACAAACAATCCATAAGGCAACAAACAGGGCCATTCCTGTCATCACTGGACCGCGATAGGTCCACGGCTTCAAATAACATCACAGCTTGACATCCTCCTCCTTGAATAGAAACGTCCTGAGACTGGGTATATATCAATAAACACAACACGAAGATCAAAATAAAAAGCTATTTATTCTAAAATATTTCACAAACATCGGACATGTACAAATGATTCTATTTCTGTGGTGTGTGAAGTCACTAGGCTAACAATTCTAACAAGTGTATACAGGCAAAAACAAATGTTTGTAAAACTACAATGCATCGCATGCAGGGGCGGATTCAGGGTGCACATAAATCATGAAGTCTCAAGGTTAGGGGGGAAATGCTCCTCAGGGAATTTTTTTCTGGGGAGAAGGGTGGCTGCGCACACCCCACCCCATACCCCTCAGGATCCGCCCCTGGCATAGTATAGTTCAGGCAGCAACACCAAATATTCCCAACAAAATAATATCCTTACTCCTTGAAACAACTGAAGTTAACTGCATAGACGTTCAACTTGTTGCACAATAATTTAATGCCAAATCTCAGGACTTCCACACTATCAATAAGATTCCATTAACAAAACCTTGGATTTTACTCTTGTTTAACTTTGCCCTTATCAAGTTAGTCACATTTATCTTTGAGCTAATTTCTGGAAAAACATCAGCATTGACACTTGACAGAAGAAAAGAATACCTAGGTAGTTTGACAAACATGCCACCGAAACATCTTAAACTGTGAAAGTAATTTGAGCAGCTTAATAAAGAACAAAGAGAGATAGTATTGCGTGAACACAAACACAATTCTGGCAGCATCCTGTTACAGACGGAGAGACTGAACAATGCTTCTCAGTCAACCAGCTCAAGCTGCTTACTTCATGACAGTGTATAAGTTCATTTTCAGCCCAAACATTCTCCATTCTCTCTATCAGCTTTCAGGCATTGGACAAACAGCACAATTTGGTTGATACTTCTGAATATGAAAGCGCCGACACTTTAGTTACATTAAACATATTTTTCAGTTCTCGTTTCGATTATTTTCTCTCTGCTTCGATTATTTACTCATTGCTGCAACTGTTTTGAAGTAATGGGGAAATACTCAAAATTTCAAGGTTTTGACATCAAATTTTGATGCGAAATTGCAAAGAGAAAATAATCAAAGTAATTAGAAAATACTCGTTGCAACAGGTAAATAATCGAAGCAAAAGGGTTCAGAAAAAATATTTTGATGCTACAAAACAGACAGCATTAGGCTTTTGAAACTGAAAGGGTAAGAACTGGGTCGAATATTTGGATAAATGTCCCTTCACAAAATGAGATCAATCAAATTGAGTATCATGCATCATTTGGACTCATGCAAGGCTAATTTTGAATGTTGGCCTTCTACAACCAGATCCTCCATAGTACTGAATGACACTTCTATGTCTTTGCCCAAGTCATCTCTGCAAGAAAACAATGTTTCAAGAAAAAGAGGACCTTTTCAAATGGCATTTACAAGCTGGTATGATGAAGAGGAACACTTTTTATGGACACACAACTTCTTGATTGCAATAGGTGTGACATTTCCCTGTAGATCATAAGACCATTATCAAGCAAATGATAATGGTGTTGGGATCTACACCTGAAACATCACATTAATTGCAATAAAGATCTATCCACATACCTTTTTGAATGGTAGCCTTTACATACAACCAGGATGACGTTGTTCAAAGCGATCTGAGCACTAAGGTCACCTAACTCCCATACCTTAACATAGACTTAAGGTAATCGTAGCGCTAAGGTCACCTAACTCCCATACCTTAACACAGACTTAAGGTAATCATAGCGCTAAGGTCACCTAACTCCCATACCTTAACACAGACTTAAGGTAATCGTAGCGCTAAGGTCACCTAACTCCCATACCTTAACATAGACTTAAGGTAATCGTAGCGCTAAGGTCACCTAACTCCCATACCTTAACACAGACTTAAGGTAATCGTAGCGCTAAGGTCACCTAACTCCCATACCTTAACACAGACTTAAGGTAATCGTAGCGCTGAGGTTGTTTTGTGCAACGGCACCAAGATCCTTTATGGTTTTGAATATGCCATATCTTGGACCTGAACTGTCTGCTATCTTTGCTACATAAAATAGTCTGCAGAAAAAAAATCCTTGATGATTGCCCTGTATGTTTTGTCCACCACTTCTCAACAAGAAAGTTCAATTTCCATGACAAAACAGATATTTCCTTATGATTAAACAAAGTAATTCTCACAAAGAAGTGTTGAAATGTGACGAAAGCTATCCTTGTCAGGCTTGGTGTATTGTAAATCTGCCTTGGTATCCGTTGTATTCAATAAATACACAGTACAGTTTGGTATAGTGTACGGCTTAAGTACGTCCCGACTTCACACACCAGAGACGATATAACAAGTATACTTGGGTAGTAACGACATACATGTACATAGCTCGTGTACATCCTCAACAGAATGCCTTCCCCAACACGACTTTACTCATTTAACAATCTTCATTGTCAGCTCTTGATCAGTGGGACATTCATGCTTAAATCAGCTAATGAACGAAAGGTTCTTGTTTCATAAAACAATGAAAACAAAATCTAAATGTTTGGGTCCCCAAAACAGCACATGTATTTCAGGATTTGTAGTGTTGGAACTTTTCATTGAGATTAGACAGGGATGCATCCAACTTGACACAAAACGGGCCAAATGGCCCACTGGTTTTAGAAAGTGGGCTAGTCCCTACATAAACAAGGGCCAACATGTTCTATCACCTCACTATTTCAGCATTCGTGTGATCATGCTCATGAATTCCAAGAAAAAAATCTGATTATGTGACTATGAGTGAGTTTAGTTTTACGCCACTCTTACAATATTCCAGCAACATCACAGCAGGGGAAACCAGAAATGGGCTTCACACATTGTACCCATGTAAGGAATCGAACCCGGATCTTGGCATGGCGAGTGAACGCTTTAACCACTAGACTACCCCGCGCCTCGCCAGACTTTGACCATAGATACCTGGGGGTATAATCATGATTGAAATGGTAAGTTGCTACGTATTGTTCACATTACTATTTTTGCTTAAAATATATCTTGTAATAGATCAACAAAGTGCACTAACTAGACTTTACTTGCATGAAATCTGACACTCAGAGTTTTCAACTTGCAGAGGTAATGACAACTGCGGCTGAGATGCATCCCCGTATAAGGAAATAATTTGAAAATTATGTTTCACAATTTGGAGACAAATCAATCTTCGGTCAAAAGGCCATATTTTATTAAAGACATGAAAAAAATTCCCCTTTGTATAACATACACGGGAAGCAATAGAAATGTAAAAATTGTTTATCTTTAGAGATAGCATTAAGCAGAGTAACCTGCCCAGAAATCGCCATTATTGAAAAAACCACTATCCCACCAAAATGGTTAACTGTCTGTGACTTATTCTAAGACGTTTGCAAAATATTACTTCCAAAGTGCCTAAAATAGAACTCACAATTGTCCATTTAATGAATAAATGTACATACAATTAGCACTGGATGCATATTCAATATGCCACTATTTCCTCTGTGAACATTAGCAGATAATATCGTTAGTCCTGTTTCCATGACGATGCTGTAGAAAATAGAATCTTGCTATGTAGAACACTCTGGCGTTGTGCGACTGTACAATATGTGTTATGGTGGATATTTGACGGACTCTATAATCGGAAAATTACAACATAGGTAAAATAGCAGAAATAACGAAAATCTGCACAAATTCATATGAACATGATACAAAAAACGTGTTTCTTTCGTGACTGCAACACGCAACTGTAAAACACATAACAATAAAATTGCGTATATGGATAAGATATTCACACAAACTTACGTTAATCCTAGTCACTTTTCTCAAAAGATAAAAGTACTCATGATTTCCTTGCATAGAATCTAAAAAGGAAAGGAAATAATAACACAGAAAAAAAAACACACAGAAAATCTAGACCTAATCTTCTAATCTTCCATATATAAAAATGATTATTGCACCAAATATGCCTTATTTCAAGTTTAAACCGATGTTTACATTGACGGTCAAATTTATTGAGCACAACCAAAATCATTTTCAAATATTCACACACTCACTTCTTTGACCAAAACCTGATAAGCATTTACTTCAATGAAGGCAATTGGAAAATAATAAAAAAGATAATTAAATTTCCTTCCAATGACAATACACAATTACTGGTTCTTACAAATGGCCGATAGAAATTGCACTTGTTCCTACTGAACGGAAAGCCAAACGAGGTACATTTTGAAAAAAAATGACATGAATTTGGAACCTACACAGCTCTGGATCAAAAGTGATGTAAATATTTGTGAGCCATCGAGGACTAGAGAAGGTGAGTTAAAGACATGGGAGATCTAATGCTGTGCTGCCTATAGACACATCACTAACAATAACCTAGAACACACGAGTGAGTGATGTGGGTGGTTTAGTTTTACGCTGCTTTTAGCAATATTCCAGCCAGAGCTCCAGATAAGATTTAGCTCATGTGGGTACTGTACCCACTTTATTTTTTTGGAGTGGGTATTATGAATGTTGAGTGGGTATTTCATTTTCCGTTACCCACTCCTTTCAAATATGTGCGTATTTCAGTCATTTTACTCACCTGAGTATTATGTCATTGGGTAAATTTACTAAGCAGGTATGTTCTGCCTTATGTCATATCTAATCAAAACCAAATTTAATATAATGGAAATGATTTCATAAAAAATCACTTATCCTATACTGACAGTACAACACTTGTCCTATACTAACAGTACTGACTGACTGACTGTTTGGTTTTACGCCGCTTTTAGCAATATTCCAGCAATATCACGGCGGGGGACACCAGAAATGGGCTTCACTCATTGTACCCATGTGGGGATTCGAACCCGGGTCTTCGGCGTGACGAGCCAACGCTTTAACCACTAGACTACCCCACCGCCCCTATACTAACAGTACAACTTGATAGCAATCGATGTCTTTTTCATTACGCGAGCGATTTTTATAAATATATTCCATACGCATTTGTTTTAAACTTTTTGCGTATCTAACATTTTAAATGCGTAATTGGTACGCAACAATTATTTTTCAATGCGTAATTGGAAATTTTCTATGCGTATTTTACCCGGATACGCAGCTTATCTGGGCCTCTGATTCCAGCAATATCATAGCGAGGGACACCAGAAATAGGCTTCACACATTGTACCCATGTGGGGAACCAAAACCCAGGTCTTTTACATGACGAGCGACTGCTTCAACCACTAGGCTACCCCACCGCCCCTGCATTGAAGATTCAGGTACATCCAGGATGGCAGTTCAAAGTTGGAGGATAACCCAAATGATGCCAAGTGAATATTAACCATTTAGGTGGAACCAATCAGACTGTTGTTGACATACATAGAGTCACAGTCAACACCCATCTGGGATTCAAATCCACTACCCTGGTTCTGGTGCAGGCAGGGGACACAACTCTGGTCAAGAATTGTATCATTTTCCAGAAAAAAAGAAATAATAAACGAAATGCAGAAAGCTTTGTAGCTATTCCACCAAGAAAGTCTACACCCATCAACAGCATCTAGACCCAAAAATTGATCCTTGGATACTTGTAGATTACTTATTTCAAATTGTTCAGTAAAACTACAAATGTTTTTTCTTGCAATGTCGCCAATTTTCTTAAATAAAGAATCTCTGAAGTGATACTTGATTTTTCAAAAATCTGTCCAACCTCCCACTTGTGCATGCCAAGGGAAGTAACTCTGACAAGAGTTATCTCCCTTAACTGCTTCACTCTGTGAGCTGGGTTATTCCTAGTCAATAAGAAAACCATGAGACAATTGTTTTCCATGTGAGCATGTAGTGAGTTTGGAGAAAAACTCTCCCAGGACTGACCAAATGATATAAACAGGGCAGGTTATCAACCAGATGAGCATAAAGCATTGAATCTACTCTCACAACCCTTTAACTCTGTGATATTTCATACTGAACAATGCAGATCAGGAATACTATCAAGTATATTGGAGTGGAACTGGGTGTCAAGTCTTCACAACAAAAACGACCCCAAAATATTCGTGAACCCTTATTTGTTTTGGATCAGTTAAATATTAAGAACTGTTCATCTAAACTTCCAAACATTTCGATTTTCTTAAGGCATATCCATGGAACATTTTTTCCATTTTTCATAAAACCTGAGGCAAAATTTTTTTTTTTTCACATGTATCTTTTAAAAATATAAACATAATCCCAGGGCCCTTCGAAATATTGAATGGTTGGTCCCCTTACAAAAGTCAAAAGGAAACAATTTGAGCGAAACAAAAGATATTCCATTTCTTAAGAAAGATTATCTCATTAAAGAAACCCACACATAATCAACTTTCAATAAAAACTGTCACAACTTGATAACCTGTTTTGTCTTAATTTCATCTCTTTTAAAAAATGTCTATCATTGAGAGCAGACTGTCAAAAAACAGACACTTTAGTTTAAAACAAGGGAAGTAACAGTACTAAACAGAGTTATCTGCCCTGATTCATGAAACAAAATGTTTCTTCAACAAAATGACAGCAACTTTGACTAAAGTAACAAATTCGCTGACAACATAAATTGAATAAGTCATAAACATAGCCTCGACATAAAAACATACTAAGGCGGTTTCATTTTACGATTTCCTTTTCAAAGAAATATCTGAAGAGTTCAGTCTTCAACGGCGACTAAAATGTACTAATGCATATTTGATTCTGATTTGACCAAGAATAACAAACCTTTCCTAGCAGAACAGTTCCGGAGATAGTGTTTCCTGGTCAACATTCAAATCTGATACCAAGCACTCAATAAAAGCTGGCGTTTAACTAAAGGCAGCAGTGTTCAGACACAAACCCATATAATCATCAACAAATAAAAGGGCTAAAATGGTATAAAACACAAGAAGCTATAAAATGTCGAAATGCTAAAACTATATACAATTCGGGCAAAACTAACAGTGAACATGAACATTACACAGGACTCAATGCAAGATGTGGTGTATGCTTCAAATTTGTACATATGAACAAATGTCGCCATGTGAAATATTTCATTTGCTGAGAATAAATAATTTCATCACATCAATGAAAACGATAAGTGGTTTGAAACCAAATTCATACAAATGCACTGTCCACTCGCTGACAAAGCACTAAAGATGCTTGTTTACGTGAAACACACTGAAACATAGCTGTGAGGCTTTTATACGACAAAACCCTTAACAATAGAGTACTAGCATTTGCGCTGCCCATAAAAGATTAAAAGGTAGGTTTTCAGTTCTTCACATATAATCTCCACCAAGTCTTAATACCCTTGATGATAACAGGTCAATATTTGATTTAAAAAATAAAATAAAAACTAAAACAGAAAAAAACACTTCCAATTTTAGAAATAGGTATTTCATTATCAAAATGGGTTAAAAATATATGTCAAAGATGTTTAGTTCATAACAGGAATTATACAGAATATTCAAGACTTTATAAAAATGTTGTTTAGGTAAAAATAGTCTTCATACAAATATTCTACAGCTAGTCTTAACATCGTCTGATTCTGATAAGAGACGTACACAAAAAGGGATTTTCTGCATTCTAAACGTCAAGATATTGACTAGAATATGTTCACACAGTATGTAAGGCACAAACTATCTTATCTTGTAGTAAGCAGTTTCTAATAACCGACCCAAAGTCACCAACCAAACATTGCATCCAAGAACAATGCATGACAATTTTTGTCACACGATTCAACAAAAATGTCTTTGAAAAGAATGTTTAAATTCAAAACATGGTCGGTTCCTTTGTTGCAGGTGTTTCCAGACTTCCTGTGCTGACTTCAAATACATGTAGAATCTCATTTGTTAACAATTGTCAACTTTTTGTCAGTTTAGTGTCAACAACATTACATTAATGCAGCCTCCATCAGCGAAACAAGTGACGGCAGTATATACCGTTCATGTCTTATTCCTAAATCTTACAAATATGCTCGTATATTTCACAGAACTCCTACTCAGGTTCAGGGCCTGAATAAGCCCTGACAAGGTCTAACCAACTCATTTGACAGTAAATTTCTAAAATAACCAGTTCCGTTCTCAAATAATCCGAATATATTTCAGAAAAATCAAGTTTATGACAACAGACTTTTTCCCCTGTGTACAAATAAACTGTAGCTTTGGCAGCTTTTTCCGAATATTTCTCAGCCTTATGTTAAAGAAAACGAATTCGAAAACTGACTCAGTGAAATTGGACGGCACAGAGAAATTCATCTATAGTTCTGGATCTAAGTAAGTGTGCACTGTTGGCTCACAGTGGTTTTGTACAAGAAATATAATATATATTAATATCTCACAAATAACTACAATAAAATCACTGATGAGAAACAGGTTGAAGGGAAAATCTTAACAATAAACATTTACAAACAAATACAGGTTTGTTTTTGTCCTTTTTTTTCTTGAAAGTCAAGTTTGACTGGATTATACACGGAGAGGGCTTCATCAAAACAGGATGGCATTCTTCACGAGAGTTATCTCCCCTTGAACACATAATTACACCCAGCTAATGGGTTCATTTGTACTTTACCAGACCTGACTCAAGCTCAGTTAATCCTAGATTTTTCACCTCAAAGAACACTACATATATCACCAATGAATTAAATTGAGTAAAATTTCATTTCATTTCTTAAATTAAACTTCACATTGTAACATTTCAATTTATACAATGTTTTTTTTGAAAACTGGTACAATTCTAACCAGTGGTTAAGGAAATATGACATGATTACTAATGAACGGATCCCAACATTCTTATCCCTGACTCGATGTCGTTAAAATCAGATCTTACTTCTTGCGACTGATAAACAAAGATCAAAGGTCATCATGCCATTAGAGGTCGTGTCACAAACCTTGACTGACCCAAGAGCTAATCAGAAACAGGGTTCTCAAGCTTGGCGGCAGAGGATTCAAACAGCCAAACTTCCTTAAAGATCACACTTTGAAAACCATTTCCCAAAGTTCTTGATTCAAAATTTGAACAAAACAAAACAAAACATTGTGAAACATTGATATAGTAGGGCAGTACTTCCCACTTTCTATGGAAAGTCTATTGCGTTCAAAAGAGAGAGAAGACAATGATTCTGATGGAACCAGTCGTAAAGACACTGTTGGTCAGAAAACTATCTTAAAACTTTTCAAGGTTCCATGATCAGAAAATACATATGGATCACAAGGTGAAGGACAATGATTGGTCAGTTGAGATGTGATGGTCATGTGACAACAATAATGAAATGTCCTCCGATATTTGTTTTGCGCTGAGAACTAAGATTGTCCCATGACGTATGTTCTGACTTCAGATACAGCTGAGATTGTTCGTAAATATGGGACCATTTACTGACTAGGTTTAACCACGCAATACTATCGGTAAAACTTAGAGACAAGAAGGCTGAACACTGGAAATTCTCTGGCCAGAATGACATCCCGATTGATTGTGACCCAACATCCTACAACTGTACAAGTGCCATTTTCTCTTAAAGGGAGAGAACTCCTGTGTTCCACTGGCAGTTTATGGAGGCAACAACGTGTGTAACCGAAACCGCTCACGAATGTATGGTCTTACATCTTCATTCTGAAACAAACAGCAAATAGACAAGATTAGATCATGGTCTCACAGCAGTGTGCAAAAGAGCCACTGGCCTTCTAGCCCGTGGCTAGTAAAAATCCAGTCGGGCCAGTAAATCTCCAGTCACTGGCCCGACTGGCTAGTGAATTCTCATGGGGTCATTTTGTAAATATATCACTCTCTCAAACTTGCTTAGCTATAATACACTTTTAAATCATGCAAGATTATGGCCTGATTAAAATGCTCATCATATTAGCAGCTTAATGATGAAACCCGTGTCTACATTCAGATTTCGGGCTAGTGAATCATGTTGTGGGCTAGTAACTTTCAGGCATAACCTGACTAGCAAAACTCACAGTAGTTCACCACGACCCAAAAGCAAAACAGAGACCTTGATATGTTGAAAATATATTCAACTAAAAGCAAAATCAAGAATTAAATTGAAATAGGAATTACATCAATTCATAAAATTTAAGCTGAACATATTTTCCCACAGTATACAAAACAAATGAAAAAAAGGATGACTTAAAAAATATTTGTCACTGATGCTTTAACATCATTGCAGCCCACTCCAACAAACAAAATGTGGCGAGAAAACGTTTGAGTTAAAAGGAACAAAAAAATATTCAATCATTCAACAATGAAGTGAGTGAGTGAGTTTAGTTTTACACCGCTTTTAGCAATATTCCAGCAATATCACGGCGGGGAACATCAGAATGGGCTTTATGCATTGTACCCATGTGGGGAATCGAACCCGGGTCTTCGCTGTGACGAGTGAACGCTTTAACCACTAGCCTACCCCACCGCTCCCATTCAACAATGAAAAAATGCCCAAAAGATAAAAAATACAGACAAATTTAATTTTCTTTAAATTATTATGTATGATAACAGGTCAGTTGACACTCTAGAGAAAATCATATTTGTCATACTGCCAAATGAACAGTCTTTTCAAGCTTGTGTGAACTTTGTAAAACATTTTCAGTCTGACTTTTTATCATTTTAAAGAGCTTACATATGACATCTAGTCCAAGCATGTTTCCCCCAGCCATAGTACCATCAACCATGTCAATGATTAAACAGATTCCCTTGCAGCAGCAACACGACAGAGCATTAACATAAAGAAACTAAATGGTATGCACTTACAAGGGCAACTAAACTCTCAAGAAAAGGGATCAGTTTTAGTAGTTCAGTCATCACGCTGGTCGACAAACCAGCTTTCAATGGGGATACCGTTGTCCAACTGAAAGGGAAAAGAGATGATTCAACACACAGAACTATGTCAAGCCAAATAAACGTAAGGTGTTAGGCATGTTGATGAACGCTGTGTCTGGCAATTATCTTCTGTCATGCTGACCTGTAAGCATCATTTTGTAGTTGTTTGTTGTTTAATGCTGCACTCAACCCGTGAAAATTCTGGTTAGACTTGATCTTCAGTAACCCATGCTTGTCGTAAGAGGTGACTAACGGGATCGGGTGGTCAGGCTCACTGACTTGGTTGACACATGTCATCGTATCCCAATTGCGTAGATCAATGCTCATGATGTTAATTACTGGATTGTCTAGTTCAGACTCAATTATTTACAGACCGCCGCCATAGAGCTGGAGTATTGCTGAGTGTGGCGTAAAACTAAACTCACTCACTAACGCTGCACTCAGCAATATTCCAACTATGTGAAATTTGTAATCTTGAGCACTGATCTACGCAATTGGGATATCTTACCTCGCACATAAATGTCATTTTCTGATTGGCTGAGCGCTCTTCTATTATTTTCAATGTATCCCGCTTACAAGCGAGTAACATTTTCTATGTAGTAGTAATTCTTTACCTCAAATAACATTGAATCACATGTATGATGTATGGAAATTACGATGGATGTTTTGTTAATGCTCATCCAACCAGGATCTTCACAGATCAGCCGCAATACAGTTAAAAATTCCAATATGGTACAGGTAGCTGCATACATGCTTTATCAGCCCAACAAACATTGTGGCCTCTAAATTCTCCATATGAGAAAGTGAAATGATGCATTATAATGAAGATGTAACCAGGATTTCTCTTCAGAAGCAATACAGTCTCCGTATGGTACAGGTCTGATGCATACCTCTTTCAGCCAGCAATGTCTTCTAAATTCCCAAGCTGGTAGATATTTAGGATATCACTGCTACAAGGAGGTGGACATCAGAACTGTAGATATCACTATGTGGCCCGAGGGAGAAGTTTACTACGAATTTATCTTACCGCCATGTTAAATATACAAAATATCATTTTATGGCATTTTGAAGATCAATAAGCTCGCTACCGACCATATGACATGTAAACAAAAAAGGCGTCTGCCTCTCAACTGGATTTTTAAATTCAGTGAAACATATTCTGAGTCTAAACTGCCATAAATATGGTTAATTATGATGAAGCTGAGTGTGCAAACGATGCAATGTATAAATAGTTGAAATAAAGCAGTGAAAGTCGGTAAAACAAATGTGTACATAGTGAACTCAAAAACAGCTAATAAAAGGGTTTCGAACTCCTTACACTGCATGCGCCATATTATGACGTCATACGAATGTTTGCGATACAGCTTCTCAGCGGAGTTTGGCCGTTACCGTTGCAGCGTGTATATTTCCACAAACTTGTTCAAGCATCACTAACCAATGAAATTAAAGTATTTTACATGAAGGTAAGATAAAATATCCGTTACATAAGTTGAAACTTGCTCACAAAGTGGGTTTCTCAGGCCTCTATATATATCATACCAGAGTAGGACATATGATTTTTAACAGAATGTACAGATCTCAAATCTGAATGTCGTCTAAGCCAGTAATCACTAAGTGGGTTTCATTGGAGGTGAGGTGAGGTGAGGTGAGGTGAAACTGGGTTTTACGCCGTGCTTGAGAATATTTCGCTCATATGACGACGTGCATGCGTGTGTATGTGTAGGTGCGGCTGCTTGTACTAGCCCAGACTGAAGCTGGTTTTATAGTGCTAGCCCACTGAGATACCATGCCGCAGTGAAGCATGAATACCCCACTCAGACACAGTATACTGACTCCAAGCCAACCAGTCCTTGTTGTACCCATTAATGCCGAGCGCCAGGCAGGGACCAACAAGTACCATATTTTAACGTCTTTTGGTATGACGCGGTCGGGGATCAAACCCGCGACCTTCCGCTCTAACCACTACACCATGGAGGTGGTCGGGTTTCTTTGGACTTGGAATGGAATGGTATCATATTGGAATGTTCGGAGACTGTTAATCTGTTGCTCACCTGGTACCCAAAGGCTTGTGGGGAGTTGTCAATGATGATCGTCTTTGAGAGGTCGCGTCCGAGGATCGTTAGGTCTTTGATGTAGTAGCCATTGATGCACACACAGTGTTCTCGGAATAACCGATGCCTGGGTTACAAAGGAAAAGCAAGTTAGGTCAGGGAGTAAGTTAAAGCAAAAACATGAGTTTTTCACACAAATAAATCTACATTTCACCAGGGCTGCATGATTCGATTCGATTCAATGAAAATCAAATCTGACACCTCAGTTTTGTTTTCGATAACCAATATTACTATTTCAATTTGATATTTTTTTGTAACATATTTTCCAGACATGTGATATTTTGTAACATATTTTCCTGACATGTGATATCTTGAAACAATTTACCTGACATGTGATATCTTGAAACAATTTAACTGACATGTGATATCTTGAAACAATTTACCTGACATGTGATATCTTGAAACAATTTAACTGACATGTGATATCTTGGAAACAATTTACCTGACATGTGATATTTTGTAACATATTTTCCTGACATGTGATATCTTGGAAACAATTTACCTGACATGTGATATCTTGAAACAATTTACCTGACATGTGATATCTTGGAAACAATTTACCTGACATGTGATATTTTGTAACATATTTTCCTGACATGTGATATCTTGAAACAATTTAACTGACATGTGATATCTTGGAAACAATTTACCTGATATGTGATATCTTGGAAACAATTTACCTGACATGTGATATCTTGAAACAATTTACCTGACATGTGATATCTTGAAACAATTTACCTGACATGTGATATCTTGGAAACAATTTACCTGACATGTGATATCTTGAAACAATTTAACTGACATGTGATATCTTGAAACAATTTACCTGATATGTGATATCTTGAAACAATTTACCTGACATGTGATATCTTGAAACAATTTACCTGACATGTGATATTTTGTAACATATTTTCCAGACATGTGATATTTTGTAACATATTTTCCTGACATGTGATATTTTGTAACATATTTTCCTGACATGTGATATCTTGAAACAATTTAACTGACATGTGATATCTTGAAACAATTTACCTGACATGTGATATTTTGTAACATATTTTCCTGACATGTGATATCTTGAAACAATTTAACTGACATGTGATATCTTGAAACAATTTACCTGATATGTGATATCTTGAAACAATTTACCTGACATGTGATATTTTGTAACATATTTTCCTGACATGTGATATCTTGAAACAATTTAACTGACATGTGATATCTTGGAAACAATTTACCTGATATGAAATATATTGAAACAATTTACCTGATATGAAATATATTGAAACAATTTACCTGACATGTGATATTTTGTAACATATTTTCCTGACATGTGATATCTTGAAACAATTTACCTGACATGTGATATCTTGGAAACAATTTACCTGATATGTGATATCTTGAAACAATTTAACTGACATGTGATATCTTGAAACAATTTAACTGACATGTGATATCTTGAAACAATTTACCTGATATGTGATATCTTGAAACAATTTACCTGATATGAAATATATTGAAACAATTTACCTGATATGTGATATCTTGAAACAATTTACCTGATATGAAATATATTGAAACAATTTACCTGACATGTGATATTTTGTAACATATTTTCCTGACATGTGACATCTTGAAACATAATGACCCGATGTGTGATATTTTGTAACATATTTTTCCTGACATGTGACATCTTGAAACATAATGACCCGATGTGTGATATTTTGTAACATATTTTCCTGACATGTGATATTTTGTAACATATTTTCCTGACATGTGATATTTTGTAACATATTTTCCTGACATGTGATATTTTGTAACATATTTTCCTGACATGTGATATCTTGAAACATAATTACCTGATGTGTGATATTTTGTAACATATTTTCCTGATATGTGATATCTTGAAACAATTTACCTGATATGTGATATCTTGAAACAATTTACCTGACATGTGATATCTTGAAACAATTTACCTGACATGTGATATCTTGAAACATAATGACCCGATGTGTGATATTTTGTAACATATTTTCCAGACATGTGATATTTTGTAACATATTTTCCTGACATGTGATATTTTGAAACATATTTACCTGACATGTGATATTTTGTAACATATTTTCCTGACATGTGATATCTTGAAACAATTTACCTGATATGTGATATCTTGAAACAATTTACCTGATATGTGATATCTTGAAACAATTTACCTGATATGTGATATCTTGAAACAATTTACCTGACATGTGATATCTTGAAACAATTTAACTGACATGTGATATCTTGAAACAATTTACCTGACATGTGATATTTTGTAACATATTTTCCTGACATGTGATATCTTGAAACAATTTAACTGACATGTGATATCTTGAAACAATTTAACTGACATGTGATATCTTGAAACAATTTACCTGACATGTGATATTTTGTAACATATTTTCCAGACATGTGATATTTTGTAACATATTTTCCTGACATGTGACATCTTGAAACATAATGACCCGATGTGTGATATTTTGTAACATATTTTCCTGACATGTGATATCTTGGAAACAATTTACCTGACATGTGATATCTTGAAACAATTTAACTGACATGTGATATCTTGAAACAATTTACCTGATATGAAATATATTGAAACAATTTACCTGATATGTGATATCTTGAAACAATTTACCTGACATGTGATATTTTGTAACATATTTTCCTGACATGTGATATCTTGAAACAATTTAACTGACATGTGATATCTTGAAACAATTTACCTGATATGAAATATATTGAAACAATTTACCTGACATGTGATATCTTGGAAACAATTTACCTGACATGTGATATCTTGAAACAATTTAACTGACATGTGATATCTTGAAACAATTTACCTGACATGTGATATTTTGTAACATATTTTCCTGACATGTGATATCTTGAAACAATTTAACTGACATGTGATATCTTGAAACAATTTAACTGACATGTGATATCTTGAAACAATTTAACTGACATGTGATATCTTGAAACAATTTACCTGACATGTGATATCTTGAAACAATTTACCTGATATGTGATATCTTGAAACATAATGACCCGATGTGTGATATTTTGTAACATATTTTCCTGACATGTGATATCTTGAAACAATTTAACTGACATGTGATATCTTGAAACAATTTAACTGACATGTGATATCTTGGAAACAATTTACCTGACATGTGATATTTTGTAACATATTTTCCAGACATGTGATATTTTGTAACATATTTTCCTGACATGTGATATCTTGAAACAATTTACCTGATATGTGATATCTTGAAACAATTTACCTGACATGTGATATTTTGTAACATATTTTCCTGACATGTGATATCTTGGAAACAATTTACCTGACATGTGATATCTTGGAAACAATTTACCTGATATGTGATATCTTGAAACAATTTACCTGACATGTGATATCTTGGAAACAATTTACCTGACATGTGATATCTTGAAACAATTTAACTGACATGTGATATCTTGAAACAATTTACCTGACATGTGATATCTTGGAAACAATTTACCTGACATGTGATATTTTGTAACATATTTTCCAGACATGTGATATTTTGTAACATATTTTCCTGACATGTGATATCTTGGAAACAATTTACCTGATATGTGATATCTTGAAACAATTTAACTGACATGTGATATCTTGGAAACAATTTACCTGACATGTGATATCTTGAAACAATTTAACTGACATGTGATATCTTGAAACAATTTACCTGATATGTGATATCTTGAAACAATTTACCTGATATGTGATATCTTGAAACAATTTACCTGACATGTGATATTTTGTAACATATTTTCCTGACATGTGATATCTTGGAAACAATTTACCTGATATGTGATATCTTGAAACAATTTAACTGACATGTGATATCTTGGAAACAATTTACCTGACATGTGATATCTTGGAAACAATTTACCTGATATGAAATATATTGAAACAATTTACCTGATATGAAATATATTGAAACAATTTACCTGATATGTGATATCTTGAAACAATTTACCTGATATGTGATATCTTGAAACAATTTACCTGACATGTGATATTTTGTAACATATTTTCCTGACATGTGATATTTTGTAACATATTTTCCTGACATGTGACATCTTGAAACATAATGACCCGATGTGTGATATTTTGTAACATATTTTCCAGACATGTGATATTTTGTAACATATTTTCCTGACATGTGATATCTTGAAACAATTTACCTGACATGTGATATTTTGTAACATATTTTCCTGACATGTGATATTTTGTAACATATTTTCCTGACATGTGACATCTTGAAACATAATGACCCGATGTGTGATATTTTGTAACATATTTTCCAGACATGTGATATTTTGTAACATATTTTCCTGACATGTGATATTTTGTAACATATTTTCCTGACATGTGATATTTTGTAACATTTTCATATGTGATATCTTGAAACAATTTACCTGATATGTGATATCTTGGAAACAATTTACCTGATATGTGACATCTTGCAACATATTTTCTGACGTGACCTCTGTTTATGTGAGGATATTGCAATATATTTTCTGATATGATATTTGTAACATATTTGACGTGATATCTTGAAAATGAAGGACCCAGGTGTATGAGCCTTGCATTTGTACCTGGACGATGGTGATATCTTAAAATATTATCAGACATGTGATATTTTAACATATTCTGACATGTGATATCTTGAAACAATTTACCTGATATGAAATATATTGAAACAATTTACCTGATATGTGATATCTTGAAACAATTTACCTGACATGTGATATCTTGAAACAATTTACCTGATATGTGATATCTTGAAACAACAACACGGGAAGGAGAAAGCCGCATCTTCCAGCTCCGGCTAGACTACAGTGAACCAGAGTCTCATCCTGAAACACAGCAAGCCAATGGTTAAACAGTGTTTCCAGCATTAGTTAATGTGCATGGTTTTACACCACTGGTACCAATACTCCAGCAATATCACCAGATTGTACCCATGTGGGGAGTCGAACCTGGTCTTCAGCCTTCAAGTGCACGCTTAACCACTAGGCTAACCCTACCACACCGCGATCAGCATAGATCTGCAACACCATGGGACACCAGAAAAGAGATTCACAAATTGTACCCATATCAGAACAGAACCTAGGCTTTAAACTCTAGGGTTAACCTAAACTGACTGACTGAGTTGAAGGTATTAATGTCAAAAAAGTGGTTTGCAGAATTACACTCTGTGATGTTTTTATCAAACGGAATTGAAAAATGAAAAAAATATTGAAGTCAATTCTGAATCGATCATTTCATCCAAACAGAGGCCCAGATAAGCTGCGTATCCGGGTAAAAAACGCATAGAAAATTTCCAATTACGCATTGAAATATAATTGTTGCGTACCAATTATGCATTTAAAATGTTAGATACGCAAAAAGTTTAAACAAATGCGTACGGAATATATTTATAAAAATCGCTTGCGTAATGAAACAGACATAGATTGCTATCAAGTTGTACTGTTAGTATAGGACAAGTGTTGTACTGTCAGTATAGGATAAGTGATTTTTTTATGAAATCATTTCCATTATATTTAAGTTGGTTTTGATTAGGTATGATATAAGGCAGAACATACCTGCTTAGTAAACTTTCTCAATGACATAATACTTAGGTGAGTAAAATGACTGAAATACGCATATTTGAAAGCAGTGGGTAACAGAAAATGAAATACCCACTCAACATTCATAATATCCACTCCAAAAAATTACAGTGGGTACAGTACCCACATGAGTTAAATCTTATCTGGAGCTCTGGAAACCAATTCTAACCCAGATCTTCAGATCTAGAGTTCAGGTAAATTAGTAAATATTTGGAAAATCAAACTTGACTGTGATTCTTAATACCTGAAGATCATATCATCCTTATATCAACTTGTCCTACAGGTGGAGGAACAAACTCACGGATCATATCATCCTTATATCAACTTGTCCTACAGGTGGAGGAACAAACTCACGGATCATATCCTCACCGGATCATATCATATCAACTCGTCCTACAGATGGAGGAACAAACTCACGGATCATATCATATCATCCTTATATCATCACTCCTTATATCAACTCGTCCTACAGATGGAGGAACAAACTCACTGATCATATCATCCTTATATCAACTTCGTCCTACAGATGGAGGAACAAACTCACGGATCATATCATCCTTATATCAACTCGTCCTACAGGTGGAGGAACAAACTCACGGATCATATCATCCTTATATCAACTCGTCCTACAGGTGGAGGAACAAACTCACGGATCATATCATCCTTATATCAACTCGTCCTACAGGTGGAGGAACAAACTCACGGATCGTATGGTTCTTGTTCCCACTCATAGTTCTCCTCGGTCTGGTTCTCCTCGGGGCTGGGGGCAGGGGCGGTGGTGTAGGTGTTGCACTCTGGGGGGACAGCGGGGTTGTAGGTGACCAGGCTGCCGTTGTTGTTCTCCTCCATGACCTTCTCGGCAGTGTACGCCTCCTTACACTCCACACCATTGTCAAGGTCGGGGTCCTCGTTCTCCTTACCTGCGTAACAAGTCACATGGTTTTAGCTCATACTTAACTCTGTCTCACGCTCCCTGAACCAGATTATTTTCCCTATTGCCTACATGCAGGGGTGGCAATAACCCATTGCCCGACGCCCGAGTGCAGTGTTTTTTTCTGTCGGGCAAGCAAATTTGTATATCACACTGTACCGGTGTCCAGTTGCCTTTCCAATATTTATTATGTGGTTTATTTGAAAAATCAACAAGAAAACGGCCGGTATAGTGGGAAAATTATCAGGGTAAGTGATTTTACATGTGCCACTGTACCGGAGTACACTAGCAATTTTAAAGTTACGGGAATATTTCATTTGGAACTTCCGGCTGATGCCGTCGCTTCCTAATGAATTCCCGTTCTTCAAATACTCAATAACACCGGGAAATTCGCCAACACATGATGTTTATCTCCTAAGGGTTAGGGTTACAATACTTACTAGATGCAGCACTGTCCGACTCAGCTTCTGTGGATGTCAGGTCAAGGATGAGGGACCTGGCTATCTCTTCCAGCTCCTGCTTGGGTGATGTCAGGTCCGTCTCTGTCAATATCAACATCAGCATCATCAGCATCAGCATCATCATCATCATCAGCAGCAGCAACATCATCATCATCATCAGCAGCAGCAGCAGCAGTATAATGTTACATCCCCTATTACTCAAGGACCCAAGAAAACCCTGGATCCACTCCCTTGTATATTTCGCTATTTCAAATTACCTGCCCTTGCATTACGATTTTACCGACCAAACGTCGACAGGGGGAAAAAGGTAATGGGTACGGTACACATGAAAACATCGAAACAAATCCAGTCAGGTTTTTGAAAGGCATTTAGAAGTTGGACGAACATGAATACATGACACTTTTATAGATAACAACTTCTTTTTATTCTTTACACGATGTTTCAGAGCTAATTCGTGCTCCTTCATCAGGTGAATACTGAGTCAGTACAAAGAGTGAATATATATAGATAAAACATGTTTACACAATGCAAGGAGGGAGAATGTACAAAGATAACAACATAATTACTAGTGTTTGGAACTGGTTAAAATCTCATAATTGATGATTGGTTAATTACAACCGATCAATCATCGAAAATAATTGGTTTGCGTCATTTATCAAATGTTCCTGTTATCTTTGTTAATGCACACACAAAAATCTGAAGAAACATGTAGTAATTTGCAATTTGGTCTTTTGCAAATTGCACAAAATCCATTGGCAAAATTTGCACATTTAAAGAATGATTAGTATGTTAGGAACACAGATTTCCTGGATTCTTTAAGATAAATTCAATCATGACTTGGAACGAGCTTGTAGTGCTTATGAAATGTAAATTTAATGACACAGACAAAACCAACCTTGTGTAAAACATTGTTGATGCAACAAGTGTTCCAAAATTGGTTGTGTTCGATTATGAGAAAACACAATCGATTGCTTGGTCGGTTTGGCACTGCGACCAATCTTCGATTATTTCAATTATTTCAATTTGTTGCCAGGAAATGTGGTGGTCGGGATTTTTGATGAAGTGTTCGGAAAGGGCAGATTTCATGTCAGATTTTTCTTGGCAACAAACCCAGATTCTACACACCAACATCAACCACTGGAAGATGCGGAAACTTCAAGAAAGCATCGAGATCCAGAGAAAGAAGCCAGCCATTAACCGGGACAAAGGCATTTACCTCCCCAGTGTATACTCTGTTATACTATAATCTCTTGGCTTCATCCATTCATTGTTATCTTTGTGCATTAATCCTATCCAATTGGTTTCCTATTATGTTGTTCTTCTTGTACATCACTCCACCCCCACTCTTGGATTTGTGTACACAATACATTGTTTTCTTTATGCATTAATCGTATCTTAATGGATTCGTAATCTTATTGGCTTCGTAATTATATTATTAGCTCTGAAACGTTGTGTAAAGAATAAAAAGAAGTTGTTTTCCATAAGTGTCATGTATTCAAATCCAGTCAGTTTAGACAATCGTGTTTGTGATACTGAGTGAGTGAGTTGGGTTTTATGCTGCGTTTAGCAATATTCCAGCAATATCACTGCGGGGGTCACCAGAAATGGGCTTCACACATTGTATCCGTGTGGGAAATCGAACCCGGGTCTTCCGCGTGATGAGTGAACGCTTTAACCACAAGGCTACCCCACCGCCCCTTTGTTATACTGACCTTCCTGACTGTAGTTGGGATACAGAGGGGAGGAAGATTGTTCCAAGGAGAGTTGTTCGGGGAGGACTGCCAGTTTCTGGTTTCGCCTTGATGTGAGTCTTGTCCTGGTCACGAACAACAGCTGTAACAACACGAACAACAGCTGTAACAACACAAACAACAGTCACAACCGATCCAATGTTTTGTAACCAGATGACAGCGTGAGCAATATGGGTGAGTGAGTGAGTGAGTTAAAATTTAACGTCACCTCAGCAATATTTCAGCCATATAGTGACGAGTAATGTTTTACATAAACAATAAAGTTAAGTTGCTAAATAATCAGTAATCGAAGGACTGTAAAATAACTAGAATATCACAGATGGAGTCTAAAACTAGCATGAACATGTAAAACTATTTTATTTACGAAGACAATACAATATAAAAACGGGCTATAGGTCGCCAACAACGTGAGCAAAATGGGCGGGTGCAGGTGACCGATGTTCAACACTAGTCTTACGTTAAACCCATATGAGTGAGTGAGTGAGTGAGCGAGTTTAGTTTTACGCCGCTTTTAATAATAATAATAATAGGCCATTTATATAGCGCCTTTCCACGTCACAGGATATGCTCAAAGCGCTTCCTGAGCTCAAGTTAAAACTATATACAGCTGGCAGGTACGGATGATTGGAAGTCACTTGTAGCGGAGAAATAGATGAGTCTTTAGTCATGTTTTGAATGTACTTAGGGAAGGAGATGATTTTAACTCGATAGGGAGAGAGTTCCACAGAGAAGCTGCTGCATATGAAAAAGCTCTTGAGCCAAATAATTTTAGATTGTAGCCCGGGACAGCAAGTAACAGTTGTTGTGATGAGCGCAGAGTTCTTTCTGGAGAGTAATGTGTCAGAAGGTCTTAAAGGTAGGAAGGTCCTGAGTTGTAGAAAGACTGGTAGGTGAGGCAGAGAATCTTGAAATCAATCCTTTCACGAATACGGAGCCAGTGTAGAGAGTTTAGAATGGGAGAGATGTGACAGCGAGTACTGGTGAGAGTGATGATGCGTGCAGCTTTGTTCTGGATTTTCTGAAGACGATGGAGTTGAGAGGAAGAGATGCCAAACAGTAAACTGTGCTTTTAGCACCATTCCAGCAATATGACGGCAAGTGACATCAGAAATGGGCTTCACACTTTGTACCCATGTGGGGAATCGAATCTGGGTCTTTGGCCTGATGATAAAACGCTTAAACCACTAGGCTACACTACAGCCTACACTTATGAAGTGAATATGGGGCAAAATACAATCTAAAAACAAATTTCTTGTATATTTACATTTTTGGCCAATAAAAACATTAGGATTTTATTTTTTGAGCGGGGAAAATTAAGTTTTATTTTTTTTCTTATTCTTGAAAAATTGAAAAAATAAGGCAGGCAGATCCATAAAACAAGGAATAAAATTGGTCGGGCCTTAAATGTACAAACTTTGTAAGATATGTTTCTTAGTTTGAGGAAATTGGTTCAAGTAACTGAAGTAACTCCAAGCAATCTCTTGTACAAGGTATTTTTATGCCAAATCTAAATTCAAAGGCTTTCCAAGATCTCAGATTTCAAGGCAAGCTGTGTCTTTTGTATCAATGCTGCAGTTCGTGACGCTTCTCTGGGACCACACAGGGCTCGATTTAAAGAAATAAAACCTACTTGCACCTAGTGCAACCTTAGGTAGAAACCTTGTTGCATCAGACAAAAACAGGTTGCCCCTGCTGCTCAATATAAAATCTTGTGTAAAATATGATGCTTGAGTTTTGGTAATGATAGTTTAGAACATTTTAACAAAAAGAAATCTGGGACTGATAACATTAGTTATCTTACGTCCTAAAATTTCATGAACAGTAAGTCCTTCTGTCACTGCTCATACAGTCATCAGAGCCACTCTTCCAAGTCAGTTCCTCATCATTCTGTTTTCCAGCTGAAGTTTAAAAACTTGACTTGCACCTGGTGCAAGTTAGACTAATAACTAGGTTGCACTTTGTAATATTAGGTTGAAACAAGTGCAAGTAACAAGCACTAAATCGAGCCCTGCCACATCAAATCTTACCTTTCTTCCTCAAGCCCGACTTTGTACGATGTGGAGTCGAGGTGATGAGGGTGTCCACGCCATTTGTGTTTGTTTCACTGATGCCGTTCTCAACCTTCGTCTTCTTCACTGGAGTGTCACGACTTCCCTGGAAACATTGGATATCACTTGAGGAAAACAAGAAGTGTTGGACCACAGTATATCATTGTTTAGATGCTCATCCCAACCCTTTAGTTACCAAACAATACATGTGAATATCTTGTTAGAATTGATCTTCAACAACCCATGTATGAGAATTCATCTTCAGCCAACCATGCTTGTGAATTCACAGAGGTACAGATAAGCTGCGTATCTGCGTAAAATACGCAGATATTAATGTGAAAACTGAATTCTGATAAAGTTTACTGCATACACAGGGGTTCAAAAATCCCATCGCCTGACACCCGGGACAAGTCAGTTTTCATTTCGGGCAATCAAATAATGGTATCTTACTTGTCCGTGGGCTACTAGACAATTTCCACTTATGGTTTCAAAACGCAAACAGACTTGGATTTAATTTCATATCTGCTCAAAATGTAGCTATTACATTTCGCAATGATGATAAAGTAGAGTTATCTTTCTTTGCTATTTATCACTTTTCAATAAATAGTCCAGTAAACATTAACATCAAATACCATGTTGATTTCTTCTTACATAATTACATCATCATAATTATGTCATAAAATCAGGGCAAGTGGAAAATTAGTATTAGTAAGGACAAGTTACTTTCTTAAGGTCACTTGCCCTGTGAATTTTTTTTTTTATTTGAACCCCTGGTACAAGTACGCTTTAATTTTTGTAAATACTCAATAAATGTGATCTTAAATGTGTACACACAAGATAATATAACTGAGGTATATTGAGAGGTTCTATTTCAGCACATGGACTTGGTAACTTGCATTTTTTTCTAATCGTTTCTCATATTACAGATCTAATACAAATAACAAAGACGTAACCCAACATTTAAACTTTATCACATTTTTAAAATTACTGGGAAAATGGAAAACGATCGTATGAATTGGCATCTCTGAAAGCACTAAGGTGATCATAAGTCACTAAGCTACCCTTAGCGCAATGTTAAAGAATGGGAGTTAAGGTTAACCTTAGTAAAGGTTGTTTAGTGAAAGGAGCCTCTGGTCTGTCTCCAATAGGGCTGCGCAATATAACCGGTTTACCCGTATTTACCGGTTCAGGCATGAAATCGATACATATTGCGATACGCTGATCGAAAACCGGTATTTCGACATGCATTCGTAAAACTTCATAACACTCTGAAATCTTCGGATATTTCCGTTTTGTTCTAGTGTTTCGCAATGTTTTGGATCTGAATGTTTTACATATTTACTCATTAATGACCAGTGATCTCTGATATGTCCTGACCAGGTCAAGTTGCTGTCTAAAATCTCAGGGCTTTTTTTGGTGTGGAGAAATTAGTTCAAATTAGTAACCACTGTGTTGATGCTAAATTGTTCATTTCCTTGTTTCATTTGTGCTAAATATTATTTATTTTGTCATAATTAAAAGTTTTTATTAAAGCTTAATCAATCATAGTGATTTGGTTGTGTTTTTGCTTTATAATTCAAGAATTAACTCGATTATAAGTAGTTTTTTGTTAAAAAAATATCTTGCTTTTACATTGCAATAAATATCGCAATATATGCCTTCGAATCGCAATATATCGCAATATGAAATTTCTCTGCAATACCCACCCCTAGTCTCCAAGCATGATCCATAAAGCAACATCTTGCGACCTGCCTAGGCGATCATTAGGGATGCCACGATACATCAATACATTTTCTAAGACGACACAATTATCGATACATTCAAAACTGTATTGAAATTTAGTTTTGAAAGTATAGGTCTAAATATGTTTATGTATCGTTTACATTTTGTATTTGTATCATGTTTTTTTATGTTATGAGAATTATAAATGATCATTTTTCATGCACAAAGATGGGAAATTAGAACTTTATAATCTCTGAGAATAAAAAATGTTGATCTTTTCGTGGAATTTACGCAATAATGCAGCGAAAATAGGTATCATGATACGTATCGTGACATGGGTATCATGATACGCATTGAATCATGACATGGGTAACGTGATACGCATCGAATTGTGACATGAGTATCATGATACCCATCGATTAGTGACATGGGCATCATGATACATATCGAATTGTGACATGGGTAACGTGATAAGTATCGAATCATGACATGAGTATCATGATACGCATCGAATCATGACATGGGCATCATGATACGCATCGAATCGTGACATGAGTATCATGATACGCATTGAATCGTGACATCAGCATCATGATACATATCGAATCATGACATGGGCATCATGATACGCATCAAATCGTGACATGAGTATCATGATGCGTATCGAATCATGACATGGGCATCATGATACATATCGAATCATGACATGAGTATCATGATACATATCGAATCATGACATGGGCATCATGATACACATCGAATCATGACATGGGCATCATGATACGCATCAAATCGTGACATGAGTATCATGATACGCATCGAATCGTGACATCAGCATCATGATACATATCGAATCATGACATGGGCATCATGATACGCATCAAATCGTGACATGAGTATCATGATACACATCGAATCATGACATGGGCATCATGATACACATCGAATCATGACATGGGCATCATGATACACATCGAATCATGACATGGGCATCATGATACACATCGAATCATGACATCAGCATCATGATACACATCGAATCATGACATGAGTATCATGATACACATCGAATCGTGACATGGGCATCATGATACGCATCGAATCATGACATGAGTATCATGATACACATCGAATCATGACATGGGCATCATGATACATATCGAATGACATGAGTATCATGATACATATCGAATCGTGACATGAGTATCATGATACATATCGAATCGTGACATGAGTATCATGATACATATCGAATCGTGACATGAGTATCATGATACATATCGAATCATGACATGGGCATCATGATACATATCGAATCATGACATGAGTATCATGATACATATCGAATCGTGACATGAGTATCATGATACACATCGAATCGTGACATGGGCATCATGATACATATCGAATCGTGACATGGGCATCATGATACATATCGAATGACATGAGTATCATGATACACATGGAATCGTGACATGGGCATCATGATACATATCGAATGACATGAGTATCATGATACACATCGAATCATGACATGAGTATCATGATACGTATCGAATCGTGACATTGGTATCATGATACACATCGAATCGTGACATGGGCATCATGATACATATCGAATGACATATGAGTATCATGATACATATCGAATCATGATATGAGTATCATGATACACATCGAATCGTGACATGGGCATCATGATACATATCGAATCGTGACATGGGCATCATGATACATATCGAATGACATGAGTATCATGATACGCATCGAATCATGACATGAGTATCATGATACACATCGAATCATGACATGGGCATCATGATACATATCGAATGACATGAGTATCATGATACACATCGAATCATGACATGAGTATCATGATACGTATCGAATCGTGACATGGGTATCATGATACATATCGAATCGTGACATGGGCATCATGATACATATCGAATCATGACATGAGTATCATGATACGCGCATCGAATCATGACATGAGTATCATGATACGCATCGATCGAATCATCATGACATGAATCATGACATGTATCATGATACATATCGAATCGTGACATGGGCATCATGATACATATCGAATGACATGAGTATCATGATACATATCGAATCATGACATGGGTATCATGATACACATCGAATCGTGACATGGGCATCATGATACATATCGAATCGTGACATGGGCATCATGATACATATCGAATCATGACATGAGTATCATGATACATATCGAATCATGACATGAGTATCATGATACGTATCGAATCGTGACATGGGTATCATGATACACATCAAATCGTGACATGGGCATCATGATACATATCGAATCATGACATGAGTATCATGATACACATCGAATCATGACATGGGCATCATGATACATATCGAATCGTGACATGGGCATCATGATACATATCGACATGAGTATCATGATATATCGAATGACATCGTATCATCATCGAATCATGACATGAGTATCATGATACACATCGAATCATGACATGGGCATCATGATACATATCGAATCATGACATGGGCATCATGATACACATCGAATCATGACATGAGTATCATGATACATATCGAATGACATGAGTATCATGATACACATCGAATCATGACATGAGTATCATGATACGTATCGAATCATGACATGGGCATCATGATACATATCGAATCATGACATGGGCATCATGATACACATCGAATCGATCATGACATGAATCATGACATGAGTATCATGATACATATCGAATCATGACATGGGTATCATGATACACATCGAATCATGACATGAGTATCATGATACACATCGAATCATGACATGGGCATCATGATACACATCGAATCATGACATGGGCATCATGATACATATCGAATGACATGGGCATCATGATACACATCGAATCATGACATGAGTATCATGATACATATCGAATCATGACATGGGCATCATGATACGTATCGAATCATGACATGAGTATCATGATACACATCGAATCATGACATGGGCATCATGATACATATCGAATCATGACATGGGCATCATGATACACATCGAATCATGACATGAGTATCATGATACATATCGAATCATGACATGGGCATCATGATACATATCGAATCATGACATGGGCATCATGATACACATCGAATCATGACATGAGTATCATGATACATATCGAATCATGACATGAGTATCATGATACACATCGAATCATGACATGGGCATCATGATACACATCGAATCATGACATCAGCATCATGATACACATCGAATCATGACATGAGTATCATGATACACATCGAATCGTGACATGGGCATCATGATACATATCGAATGGTGACATGGGCATCATGATACATATCGAATGACATGAGTATCATGATACACATCGAATCATGACATGAGTATCATGATACGTATCGAATCGTGACATGGGTATCATGATACACATCGAATCGTGACATGGGCATCATGATACATATCGAATCGTGACATGGGCATCATGATACATATCGAATCGTGACATGGGTATCATGATACACATCGAATCGTGACATGGGCATCATGATACATATCGAATGACATGAGTATCATGATACACATCGAATCATGACATGAGTATCATGATACGTATCGAATCGTGACATGGGTATCATGATACACATCGAATCGTGACATGGGCATCATGATACACATCGAATCGTGACATGGGCATCATGATACGCATCGAATCGTGACATGGGCATCATGATGCGTATCGAATCGTGACATGGGCATCATGATACGCTAAAAATCATGACTTGTGCATCATGATACGCATTGAACCGTGACATGAGCATTATGATGCGTATCGAATCATGACATGAGTATCATGATACGTATGTACAGTGATAAATCTACAAATTCAACTGCCTGAGTCCCGGGACTCACTGAGCTGAATAACTATGAGTCCCTCAGAACTTTTATGAGTCCCTAACAAAAATTAATGCCACAAATATTATTCAAACTGGTTTATTGTTACTATAGGTTGCACAGGTGAGTCTGACCGTTCTGGGATATTATGGTAGTACCTAAATCGTAACAAATGGAGACTCTTCCATTTTAACTTGTAGTTCATACCCTATCACATCAGACACAGATGTTAACAGATCACTGGTAGTGGTTGGAGAATCATAGTTAATTTTACCTTCCTTGAGAATTTCAATGTCAAATTCATATAACAAGAGTCATCAGAAGATGACATATCCCCCCGGCCCCCACATCTTTGAAAGAACAAATCATCTGACAGTTACTTAAAGTCCAGCTTGATTTTAGACTAAGTGCAAATTGTTTCCATGGAAATCATGAAAAAAATAAATGACAAAAATCTGCAAATAGCAAAAGGCACCACTTTGGGATCTGCCTCACATATCTGCCAAGTTTTGCTGAAAGATATTAAGAAGTTTTCGCGTTGTGCTCCGGAAACAAAACCCATCCCTTCCTTTTTGAGACTAAGTTCGAATCATTTCCATGGAAACCGAGAAAATAATAAATCACAAATATCTGCAAATAGCAAAAGGCATCACTTCAATATCTGCCTCACATATCTGCCAAGTTTTGCTGAAAGATATACAGAGGTTTTTGAGTTGTGCTCCGGAAACGAAGCCCACCCCTCACTTTTGGGATTAAGTCCGAATCGTTTCCATGGAAACCGGGAAAATAAAAATGCCAAAAATCTGCAAATAGCAAAAGGCACAACTTTAGGATCTGTTTGATATATCTACCAAGTTTTGTTGAAAAATATTATACGGTTTTTGAGTTATGCTCAGGAAACGAAGCCCACCCCTCACTTTTGGGACTAAGTCCGAATCGTTTCCATGGAAACCGGAAAAATTAAAAATGCCTTAAATCTGCAAATAGCAAAAGGCACCACTTAAGGTTCTGTTTGATATATCTACCAAGTCTTGTTGAAAAATATTGAACGGTTCTTGAGTTTTGCTCCGGAAACGAAAGCAATCCTTACTTTTTGAGACTAAGTTCAAAATGTTTCCATGGAAACCGGGGAACATAAAAATGCCAAAAATCGGCAAATAGCAAAAGGCACCACTTAAGGTTCTGTTTCATACATCTAGCAAGTTTTGTTGAAAAATATTGAACGGTTCTTGAGTTATGCTCCGGAAACGAAGCCCACCCCTCACTTTTGGGACTAAGTCCAAATCGTTTCCATGGAAACCGGGAAAAATAAAAATGCCAAAAATCTGTGAAATGCAAAAGGCACCACTTTAGGATCTGTTTGATATATCTACCAAGTTTTGTTGAAAAATATTGAACGGTTCTTGAGTTATGCTCCGGAAACGAAGCCCACCCTTCTTTAAGACTAAGTCCAAAACGTTTCCATGGAAACTGAGAAAAATAAAAAAGACAATTATCTGTAAATAGCAAAAGGCACCACCTTAGGTTATGTTTGACATATCTACCAATTTTGGTTAAAAAATATTGAACGGTCTTTGAGTTATGGTCCGGAAACAAAATGATTACGGACGGACAGACGGACAGACGGACTAGGCGACGACTATATCCCACCGCATTATATGCCGGTGGGATAAAAAGTCAACAAAACGTTTAAACTTTGTCAGTGGGATGTTTTCACAAGCTAACCAAAGAACAGATTTCATCAAGGCGACAGCTGCTTTGTCTTGTTTTTCATACATACGTGCAGTTGCAACCTGGAAATCATCACAAAGTTTTGGAGCCTGAACGGACAGTTTACTATCATTATGATGAGATGTCTGGTCAAAATTATATTTTAAAAATTCCTGCATTTAGCATCTTGTGTCATACCATTTTCAGTTCATAGTTTACAAAATATTAAATCACCAGCCCTGTCATAAGTCAGCCATAACCGATGAGTATTCGGCCAACCTGACTGAAATGTCCTAACTTTGTGTTTTCTGACAGTATCTATCTGGGTGGCATGTCGACTGCTATATTATAGTAAAACAAGAAGACAAAGTCATCAATATTCCCCGCAATGGCAAAATACTCTTCATGATTATGTCTACGAGTTTTGATTATGTCAAATATTTAGGTGTGTATATAGAAAAGTGGAAGGAGAGTATTGAAAGGTTTTTAAAGTTCTGCTCCAGAAAGGAGCACTATCACCAATTTCAGTCTAAATCAAACTTGTTGCCATGGAAATGCCAATTATATTTTATTAAGAATTCCAAAACTACCAAAAGGCACCCGTACACCACCAGATCTATGTATGTGCCAAGTTTGATGAAGAAACATTGAACGGTTTTAGGGTACTGCTCCGGAAAAGAGCACTACCACTAATTTCAGTTTTATTCAAACTTGTTGCCATGGAAATGACAAAAAATATTTTATTCAGAATTCCAAAACTACCAAAAGGCACCAGTACACCACCAGACCAATCTATGTGCCAAGTTTGGTGAAGAAATAGTGAATGGTTTTAGAGTTCTGCTCCGGAAAAGAGCACTACCACCAATGTCAGTCTGTCAAACTTGTTGCCATGGAAACGCCAAAAATATTTTATTCAGAATTCCAAAACTACCAAAAGGCACCAGTACACCACCAGATCTATGTATGTGCCAAGTTTGGTGAAGACATATTGAACGGTTTTAGAGTTCTGCTCCGGAAAAGAGCACTCCCACTAATTTCAGTCAAAGTCGAACTTGTTGCCATGGAAACGCCACAAATATTTTATTCAGAATTCCAAAAGTACCAAAAGGCACCAGTACACCATCAGATCTATGTATGTGCCAAGTTTGGTGAAGAAATATTGAGAGGTTTTAGAGTTCTGCTCCGGAAAAGAAAAATGTGCACGGACGCACGGACGCACGGACGGAGTCCATTTTAATACCCCCCCGCAAAACGCATTGCGGGGGATAATAACAGCAGGGCTCTACATGACCTTTGACAAGCAAATGTTTTCTTTTACTAGAAAAATAAAAAAGTTACAAGCCAGACCCATGTAATTTCACTGTAATATTTTGTGAATAAAGTTCTACAATTCCAACCAAAGTTTTGTTTTATTTCTTCACTCTGAATCACTGAACAAATTACATCAAAAGAAATATGCCAACTGGAAGCCACTTTAACAAGTATGAACACAAATAGTAACGGCATTTCTTACTTACTTACTATTAACATTGAACGAATTATATCATAAATGTCATCATAATCATAAATGAAATGATTCATTTATATGATTACCTTTCCAGGACTTGAGATTCAGAATGACATTCTATTTCAGCAGAACTTTAACCATGTCAAATGTCACTTTCACTTTCAAATTACATGCAGATAGATTTAACAGTAGTTCAGCTACTGACTAAAGCTTCCTGCTTTTCTCTAACTGGTACTGAGAGCTCAGATTTTGTCTTCACACAGTGGATTCAGAGTCAAAATGTTCATTGACCAATCAGTTTGTCTTGAAAAACCTCATTTGCATATCGCTTACCTCCTTAGCGTGTTTGTGTCTATTTATAGAGTGTAAAAACTAGGTTATAGTTTTGCACATGCTCGAGCAATGAATCTTGGGATCTCATTTGCATACCGCTGACCTCCCTTGGTGTGACCTAGATGTCTATTTTTGGAAACGCGGAAATGAACTTAATATCATGACGAATGAAAGCTGCGATCGTTTTAAAAATAATGTGTATTTATTAGCTCACGTCAATTATTTGAGAATGGAAGTTAATCTAAGACGATTTAGCCATGTATACTTTGATATTGCCCCTTCCTTTGATGAAACATTAGTGTTTCATCAAAAGCTTGTGTCCAAGAGGACGCACATGTAAAAAAAATATGAGTCCTGTCAGAATTTATTGCGTCAGAGACGTGGGACGCGGGGGTAGATTTATCCCTGTATGTATCGTAACATTGTGTATTGTGATCCTAAGCCAACGTTATAACTGAACACACCAGGATGAGATGGCGCCTTACCTCTGCTATACTGTGCTCACACTTCATGTTGCGTTTCCGTGAGATACAGTGTGAAGCCAAGGAGTCACCTCCCTTCCTGCGGCTTGGCTTCCCACCACTAGGGGGCGTGTCTCCTGTCTTCTGCCGCAGTTGCATGGTTAACAATCACAAACAAATCTGGAAGAAAAGAGAACAAGTTCAAGGTCACTGACAGTCTCAAACGGGCTTGCAAGTTTTTATCAGATTGAATGAATCAAGTTTTACGCCACTTGTAGCAATATTCCAGCAATATCACAACGGGGGACAACAGAAATGGGCTTCACACATTCTACCCATGTGGGGAATCAAACCCAAGTGTTCCATGAACGCTTTAACCACTAGGCTACCCCACCACCTCTCAAAATGGTTTGTGAGTTTCTGATTGAACGGTTAAATGAGTCGAGTTTTACGCCACTTTCAGCAATAATCCAGCAATATCACAACTGGGGACAAAGGCCTGGGGCGTGTACCCATGTGGGGAATCTTCATTTTGCATATCATGCCTTGACAACATCCAAATTCAAATCAAAACACTCCTAAATTGAGGAATATTCCATCCAAGTGACAGCTAAAAATTAACTGAATTCATGAAGGCATACGGTTCAAACCACCAAATACACAAGTGAATCTTAACAGGCTATTACGCAAACCAACTGAAGGCAAAGTTTTCAATTTGATATAGTGACAAGTTCAAACTGTTCGGCCAGGATATAAAACTAAAAAGACAAATATATTACAAAAAGTATGATTTAATTAGAGTGGTTTCTCTTTACAAATCAGTGAATGTTATACTTTCAGCTCAAAGAAGAAACATGCATGGGAAAACAAAAAGCTGGAAGCAATCTTTTCAAATCCTCTTCAGTTTCAAGATGATGTGTAGATTTCTTGAAATTCAAGGACTTTGTAAGGACTGTTAAACGAGTGCATTGACATCTCAAGCACATCAGCCGTCAAACCAAGAACTGAACACATTTCATGAGTCTTTTATTCATCAACCACGTTTTGGAATCCATTTGTAACCTGGCAGCTTATGAAGTTTGAGTGGGATTGGCTTAACACTTCTTTGTACTGTTGGGAATTGGTTGAAATCTCACAACTGATGATTGCTTCATTACCAACGAATAATCATCGACAAAAATTGGTTAGCGTCATTTTTCAGATTTTCCTATCCAGGTTGTTATTGCAGATATGTATAACATGATGCAACCTGCTACTTTAAAGTGATGACTAATATACCATGAACATACACTTCCTGGAGTCTTCAAGAAATATTCAGTCATGACTTTTCAGTTTGTGAAGTGGGTTTTCTAAGAATTAAACTAGTTTTCAGACCCTGACAACTTCGAAGATATGTTCCATCGTCAAGCATTTCAAAGTCTAATACAGCAGTTCCAAAATCGTCGGTGTTTGATTATGAGAAAATGTGATCGATTGCTTGGTCGTTTGGTCACTACGACTTTCATTGGTTGAGAAGCGGATCATAAAACACCTCATTACATTCAGTAGTTTGATTGCTCTGCAGGATTTACTAATGGACTAACAAATATTTCCAGCCCATCATCAAGGCTGTAACACATATGGTTTCCTTGTGCACAACATCGCTGACACTTCCAGTAGCAACTTATTCAACACTATCAACGAATAGGGCTGGGACGATACACCGATACATCACGAATACATTTAAGTTTGATACAGCTATCCTATCGTCGACTGATGTATCGACCCAAAACAATACACGACTTTTTTTCAAAACAGTATTATCTAAACATTTTAAAGTACTTATTTAGAGAAAAATATGCAATATGATAGTAACTTGTTTGTTGATTATTGTTTAATGTTATACACAAAATATCTTGAAATAAATCATTTTAAATATTAATACTGTGCTATTCTTTCAAGGTGCATGTATCGTGATAGGTATCGTATCGCAGGTAAAATACTGCGATACGTATTGTATTGCGACATAGTGTATCGCCCCAGCCCTATCAATGAATTCCAAATGATTCTGTTTTCCAATTAAATGTGTGCGTGCATGCGTGAAATAATTAACCTTGCTTATATAGGAGGAAATCTGAAGTGGTACTATAGTACTGTCGGAAATAGAAAAAAACTGTTTTTAGGCTGTTACTCTGTATCCCTACAATTTACACAATTGCAAATAGCATATGTCGAAATAACATACTTCGGCCTAACTGAGTGTTCAGTGGGATGCGTAATACGATATCCAGAAAAGCATGTTTACTCGAAAAATCGGGCAAAACTTAGAAAAAACCCGAATAGCTGCTGAAAACAATAGATCAGACTATAGATGGCAATTAGGTCGCTCAGCCAGGTATGACGACGGACCGTCGACTCACCTGGCATGAAATGCACGTGCTGCCTTTCTTTCATATAGTTTATGTTGAGATATGTAAAAGAGTATGATACCCGAAAACCATAGAAACGCATCGCAGTATATAGGTGGCATGACCACCCGAAGATCGACAGGACTGGATATTATTTGTAAATTGTGATGACGTGCCGTGTTCCTCCCCAGTATAATTGCCCTAAAGGATTATCTTATCTTAGCTGATATCTCTATCCCAAAGCACAACCCCATGTTTTGCATTTGAGACGAACCCTCCTACCTGTTTCTTTTTATAGTGACAGTGAGACTGCATGGTAGCTACATCCTTAATAGTTTCGGCATAAAAGTTATTATTGTTTACGTCAGCTATAGCTTATAATGAATCTACGTCTAATTTCAAATTGGGCATTTAAAAAGTGTCCATTGTAATACAATATCGTTGCACACTAATTTGCATAAAGCCATGGTCTGTTCCAAATAAGTCTTTTCGGACTTTGAAAAAACCTGCATTGCTCATTTCTGCACTAATTTCCCCTCAGTAAAGTCCCTTTTCTCCGTTTCCTATCTCTCTACCACTGAGACTGTAGTTAGGCCGAACTTAGATTAACAGATAGTTCACACTTTCACATATCAACTACATAAATTGTAGAGATAAATGAGAAAATACAGTTTTTTTCTATTTCCGACACTACTATAGTACACTGAGTCTGTAACCAGTTCAGCTTAAACCAACAATAATGATTCCTACGAGCACATTTTCTGCCAGATTTATTCAGCTCCAATTTGTAGCAAGTGAAGCATTGAGAACATGTTCAGAATTTTGGCCCTCAAATACTAATGGTCAGTATGGATTACAATCACTGCATTAATACTTGGTGACCTTATTTTACAAGATCAAGATCCTTATGGATCCAGGCTTGCTGTGTCAAGACACGTAGCAGACCAACAGACCGACACCACTCTCCATCATGGTGGTCCCCACGTGACAGCAAGCTCCAGGTTCTGATGGACCCCCCACTCTCCAGTGACAGAAGCAGTCAGTCACCCGGCCAGCAGCAGCAATGTGTGTCAAGGCAGGTAGCAGACCAACAGACCATCACCATTCTCCATCACGGTGGCCCCCTGTGACAGAAGCAGTCAGTGGGCAGCAACAGCAATGTGTGTCAAGGCAGGTAGCAGACCATCAGACCAACAGACCATCACCACTCTCCATCATGGTGGTCCCCTGTGACAGAAGCAGTCAGTGGGCAGCTGCAGCAATGTGTGTCAAGACAGGTAGCAGACCATCAGACCAGCAGACCATCACCACACTCCATCATGGTGGTCCCCTGTGACAGAAGCAGTCAGTGGGCAGCAACGGCAATGTGTGTCAAGGCTGGTAGCAGACCAACACACCATCACCATTCTCCATCACGGTGGTTCCCTGTGACAGCAGCAGTCAGTGGGCAGCAACGCAATGTGTGTCAAGGCAGGTAGCAGACCAACAGACCATCAAACCATCACCACTCTCCATCACAGTGGCCCCCTGTGACAGCAGCAGTCAGTGGGCAGCTGCAGCAATGTGTGTCAAGTCACGTAGCAGACCAACAGACCATCACCATTCTCCATCATGGTGGCCCCCTGTGACAGCAGCAGTAAGTGGGCAGCAACGCAATGTGTGTCAAGGCAGGTAGCAGACCAACAGACCATCAAACCATCACCACTCTCCATCACGTGGCCCCTGTGGCCCCTGTGACAGCAGCAGTCAGTGGGCAGCTGCAGCAATGTGTGTCAAGTCACGTAGCAGACCAACAGACCATCACCATTCTCCATCATGGTGGCCCCCTGTGACAGCAGCAGTAAGTGGGCAGCAACGCAATGTGTGTCAAGGCAGGTAGCAGACCAACAGACCATCACCACTCTCCATCACAGTGGCCCCCTGTGACAGCAGCAGTCAGTGGGCAGCAGCAGCAATGTGTGTCAAGGCTGGTAGCAGACCAACAGACCAACCGACCATCACCACTCTCCATCACAGTGGCCCCCTGTGACAGCAGCAGTCAGTGGGCAGCAGCAGCAATGTGTGTCAAGGCTGGTAGCAGACCATCACCACTCTCCATCACGGTGGTCCCCTGTGACAGCAGCAGTAAGTGGGCAGCAACGCAATGTGTGTCATGGCAGGTAGCAAGTGCACCTAGCGGCCTTACTGGGAGTCAGACAGCATCACAGCAGAGTATCACTTACACCAGCCAGACACAAGTGAATTGAACCTGGGGATGCTATGAGGAAAAATTCGCTTCGAGAAACCCTGCATTAAGCTGGGAAACCCTGCATGCTCTGTTAAAACCCCAACAACCCTTATGCCTTTACAGCTAGCATGTATGGTGTCTGCTCCAGTTTTTCATCAACAAGAGGCCTTATACCAGTACAGCTAGGCTGACAAGGTTCTTTTTGCCCTTGAAAATTTAATACTGTTCATCAAACTAATCTGAATAATGACTTTTCAAGTAGAGTCTTTGAATGGTAGTAGGTTGTGAAAAAAGATTCCCCAAAGACTGTTTTTCATAATGAGTTGTTTTATGTTTTTATTCAGACGCTGATCTCAAACTATTCTACATACTTTCAATGTCAAGTTGAAATAAATCTGGTTTTATCAACTCAACCTTGAATTTTCAAAAAACAGACATGTTACTGTAAATGTTCTGTTTGCTTTCAAGATGCTGATGAACTAATGCTGATGAACAAAAGTACTATCCATATTATATGGTTGAAAATTAGTTTTTCTCAATTAAATCCAATGCCATACCCAGAATAA